GGTCTGCGATGCTCTCAGGCTTTGGAGTGATGCTCACGGCCGTCGTGGTGTTCATAACCAATGTGATGCTCAGACATTGTTTAGCTGAAAACACAAAACGGAACAAAACTTTCGTAGCGCCGATGTACTACTACTACTACTACTACTACTACTACTACTACTACTACTACTACTACTACTACTACTACTACTACTACTACTACTACTACTACTACTACTACTACTACTACTACTACTACTACTACTACTACTACTACTACTACTACTACTACTACTACTACTACTACTACTACTACTACTACTACTACTACTACTACTACTACTACTACTACTACTACTACTACTACTACTACTACTACTACTACTACTACGACTACTACTACTACTACTACTACTACTACTACTACTACTACTACTACTACTACTACTACTACTACGACTACTACTACTACTACTACTACTACTACTTCTACTACTACTACTACTACTACTACACCTACTCCTACTACTACTACTACTACTACTACTACCACCACTACCACTACTACTAGGACTACAAGAACTACTGCGATTATTACGACTATGACTACGACTACGACGACTACGACTACGACTACGAGTACAGCTACGACTACGACTACGGCTACGACTACGACAACTCCTACTACTACTACTACTACTACTACTACTACTACTACTACTACTACTGGTACTACTGCTGCTGCTGCTACGAGGACCTGTACCACTAACACTACTGCACCGACTGTTACACCTACTGCTACTGCTACTGCTAGTGCTACTTCTACTACTGCTACTGCCACGGCTACCACAACCACTTACAGTCAAGCCGAATCAAGAAGAAAACAAATTGCCCGCACTTGCCGCAGATCCTCCGTGCTCCCTACTTCCTGCCACCTGTGTGCGAGCCGCACGCGGGGCTCCCGAAACCGGTTCTGGCCTGGAACGTATCCGCGCTGAAGAAGAGCCAATTATCGCCGTTCCTGGAGCCGTTCTTGTCCGACTGGTTGTCCTGCCGGGCACCGCGGCGCGAAGGGATGGGGTCAACAAAGCGATGGCGATCGATACCCATTACAATCACTACCAGCATCATCGACAGCGACAGCATCACCACCATCACCATGGACAGTCCTCCAAAGGATCGGCGGATGCCCACTCGTGTTACTTAGCTGCTGCACGTACCCATGCTGCGGATACTGATCTACTGGCAGGTCTCAAGCGACAGTCCCACTTTCACAAACCGCCCTCCGTCCATGACGGCCGCTTGCACGTGTGAATCAAACGATCGACTTTCAAGTCGGACGAAATTCCATCCATTCGTCTAACTGCTTCAGCGGTTTAAGAAGTCCGCGGCGCTAAGGCGATAACCAAGATTGAACATGATCTGCTGCTCGTCCGTGCAACGCTGGTAATCCCACAAGCCCTCTGAGCGGAGGTGGTCTAACGCGTTTCCCTTTCCGTACTCTAAGGACGTAGAACACGATAGAATAAAACAGAATAGAATAAAACCCCTCTCCCTACCCTCTCCCCTGGACACTATGCAACGACCCTGCAGTACCCTGTGCCCGCCTGCAAAGCCCGCCTGCAAAGACCCTGCAAAGGGCCCCTGCAATACCCTGCAATACCCTGGAAAACGGTCATGCAATACCCATGCAAAACCCTGAAAACAGACCCCTGCAATACCCTGCAATACCCTGCAAACCTTTGAAATGACTCGCAAGGTTCCGCCATGCACTGGCAAAACCCTGCTTCGGTTTGAGATACCCCTCAAGAAGGCAAGAATGGCACGAGCAAGGCCCCAAAACGGCCCAACGTAGTCGCTGTGGCATGGGAACAGGTCGTGCTACGAGCGGAGGCCGATGGTCACAGCGCAACTGTCGCCGGCCAGACGCGGGAAAAAAATGTGCAAGGCTACTAGGCAGAGGCAGCGCAAGAGCGGCGAAAACGAGGGGAGACGCGGAGCGTCACAAATGTGTAAGACGACTGTGCCCGGCGCTGGGGCGAATGCATTATACGATCACCTGCGGCCCGCCCCTGCAATTGTTGAGACTTCAAGCCTTCACGGCCCTACGCTGTCAAGGAGTATCTGGAGAAACGGGCGGCCGGCCATGCTCACACGTCTGACGGTGCAACGAGGAAGAGGGCGAGAAGCAGCAGCAGAAGTGAGACAGGGAAGGCGGATGGAGGGAGAGTAGGAGGAGGAGGAAGAAGAGGAGAAGAAGGCGACGACAGGCAGAGCACCTTGGCGCGAGGAAGACCGGGAATAGGAGGGCGCGACGATGCGAGCAGGAGGGCGACGGCTGACACAAATAGAAGTTCAAAGAGCAGGATGTCGTAGGTTCCTCAGGATGTGATGCGGGGGCTCGTAGGATACCACGAAACCATACTGCTATAAAACGCAAGCTCCTACGTCGTAGGAATGCTGGTGCCGAAATGGGGGGGATTCCACGTTCTGGGCATCAAGCCACCTTTAAGGTTCTGCGGTGGCTGAGCTTACGCCCAGACAGACACATTCTATGAGGTTGGCGGCGTCTCGGAGTCTCGGAGAGGATGAGTCTGGGGTCCTCATGTCGCTCAGGCTCAGATCCTACCCTTTTGGTGCATAGACCCTTTGTTATACACCATAATACGAATTTCTTCAGTTAAGCGCAGATCTGTGGGAAAGGATTCCAGACGTGGGTGTTGAGCTCTCGTTATTCGAACATGCTGCTGATGAACTTGGACAGTCTAGGTATCCGTGGCACACTGCTTCCTCGCCTGCACACATGTACATTCTCACTCTGGCAGAGCTGGGCTGGAGACCGACATCGGCGCGCTCGGTGGTAACGTGCGACTGGCAGGTGAGAGATGGTCTCTCTGGCACCTGCCAGAATGACCAGGACCCTCACGTTGAAAACAAAATGCGCCTTAAGGAAAAGTAGAAACAAGACGCTGTACAAGATGGGATCGAAGCACACGGCGGCCGCAAGGTGGCGATAGCGCAGAGTAGGCCCGGAGACCCCGACGCCCCGCGAAAGCTCCCGCAAGGACCGTGCCGATGGCAGGAGGTGACCCCGTGGGGTCTGGCCTGCCAGCCGCAATGGCACTCGAACGTGTCCAACTAGACAGAAGGCGCCGATCCAGAGAAGCCTCTCCACACGGCCGCGAGGGCCACAGAGAATCTCTATAAGGGTCACCGGGTTGTATAGATTTGTCCAGCCGAAGCCAATGGGCAAGTGCACAAGAACTGCATAATGAACACGAAATGATGTCACTGCCAGCAGAGTCTCCCACCACTGGGAGAGGTCGAACTCAAGGATCGTCTCCTCTCCCCACGGCCGCTGTAAGCAACGTAAGACGAGGAGTTCAGAATACAAGGAGGAACCCACTCCTCAGCGGCCACCAGCACTGCCTCAGGCAAGAAGAACTACATGACCAGGCTCCCACCTCGGTGAGACACTTCATAGAACTCGAAGTTGTGGGTTAGTCGAAGCAAGGGTGAGCGAACCATCAGCCTTCTACACAAATTGCGCTGCTTCTCTTGTCACCATATGAGGTTTCCATTGACAATGTTAAAGAAATTGCTTAGCAAGCTGCAGGACTCTTGCTTGACAAAGAGGTCCTGGTCCTGCAATTAAGGCTAACTCAAGCAAGGTTTGGTGTAGGCCTGCTTCGTGACAGGGGCTGACGCGTTGGATGAATGGGAAGCCGAATGAAGTTTGGAATGAAGGCCACCGGTCCTGTGTCAAAAATTCCTTCGCGTTGAATTCCTAAACTCAAACTCGCCTTCAGGATCACGGTATATCTGCTGAAAACCGTTGCCAACTATGCTTCGTGGAGGCCGGCATTCGTTTCCACCATTGTTTCTGCTGCGAGGCCTTCGAGACGAATGGGCGACAGCATCACCTTCGCAGGTGTTCGACTGCGGCTCGACGAGCCAAGGAATGGCGCCAGAACTTGGAAGAGTGCGGCGTGCTCCGTCCTGAAGGAGCTGATCCCTACCTCCCGACCAGTAGCCGCTCGTCACACAATCACATGGCCAACATCTGAGCTCGCGTTTGGCATGTTCCTAAAGATGAGATCACGGCCCATGAGGCCAAGGGCAATGTCACTATGTATGGCGTGGTGAATGGTGCTCGTAGCGACAGCGAGCGGCTGGGCAATCAGCACGCCGATCGTTTCGCAACGCAAGCTGCCAGTCTCCATCACCTCCCCGAGGATAAGTCGTTGCTCTTCTCCAAGCTGGTTTAGTGTAAAAAAAACTTAGGCGTTGGACTTCACAGTTCCTGCCCCTCTTGATAACGCCCAGGTAGGAGCCTCTGAGCTCAGAAGGCTCAAGCAAGATTGCTAGCTTCAGGTCAGGCCTGTCCCCTCACAGGGGGGTTTTGGACGGAAAGAAAAAAACAAAAAACTTAACAAAAAAAATGGTCCCCTGACTATTTGTTTACTATTTTTGAATACTCCTTCTGTAAAGGGACAGGCCCCACTGAATGCTACCTTGACCATGCTGCAGGCCCACAACCTTTGCACGGCCAGGGACTCGGTGGACGAGGGGGCTCGGGTGAGCTCGGAGGGCTCGAGTAGCATCAACATCACGCTAGTCGGACGACCCTGTCAACGTGTTACTCGTAGGTCGGGTGTGTCCTCCTACAGGGGGATATTAGACAAAAATCAAAATACACTAAAATACTGAAAAAAAATGAAACAATACTAGAAAAATCGTCCCCAGACTAATGTTTGACTATATGTTTGAACATTCCTCCTGTAGAGGGACAGGCCCGACTTATGTTCCTGTTGAACAGGTATCAAGCGGTTGCTCGGAAAGCAGATGAGTCACTCGCACAATTTGGAAGACGACGCGCGTGTCACTGGTGCACGTCGGTCGGAAGAAGTGGGTAGAAACATGAAGTAGGAAGGCGTTGGAAGTAGATTGGGCTTCCGCCCGCCCCCTGAGGACCAGGGCGGAGGGAATACCACCCGACTTTTGAAGTGGGAAGGCGCAGAAAATAGATCGGGACTTGGGCATCAAAAAAAAACTACTTTCAACGACGGACGGGTACTCCTTCTCCCTCCTGGCCCGTGGAACCTGGTGGATCATGCCGGGCAGTTTGAAGAGCAGAGGCTGCGCGCGGTCCGGCGTGATCTCGCCCTGTACCGCCTGCCCTGGCCAGGCTGCTCCCGAGGAATCCGAGGCAGCAGCGGCCGACGTCTCTCTAGGGGCGTGTCCCCGACTGGGCCCTGGCACCACAAGGGCTGCAGAGCGAGGGCTGGACGGTGTCTGGTCACTGCTCGCCCTTCCCCTCGGACCGACGCGTGTGTACCAGACGACCCGCACTGTACGTGCAGGAGGGGAAGGCCCGAGCGAGCACGAGGGGCCCACGGTATGGGAGGCGGAGGAGGATGACTACCTACCAAACCACCCCAACCCAACCCGAAGACCCGAATTTCCCGCATTTCGGGTTGGGGGGGGGGTACGGGCTTCATGTGTGTTTTTTCCATGTTCCCCGACCCACCCACCCCCACCAGAAATGGAAGGCAGATCGGGGCCTTCGGGTTGGGCTGGGCTGGGTTGGTGGGTGGTGAGAGGAGGAGAATGACGAGGGCGAGGACGAGGGGGGTGGGAGGCAGCCCTTGCCCAGGGAAAAGGGCCGGCCGCCCTCCCGGGCGAGGAAGCGGCGGCGGTTCGAGAAGCCAACGTTCAGCAGCGGGATGTGGTCCGCGAGGCGTGCGGCCTCCGCGGCGCCCTTTTTCCTCCCCTCCTCCCCCTCTCTCCCCCTCCTCCCCCTCCTCCTCCTCCTCCTCCTCCTCCTCCTCCTCCTCCTCCTCCTCCCCCTCCTCCTCCTCCTCCTCCTCCTCCTCCTCCTCCTCCTCCTCCTCCTCCTCCTCCTCCTCATCATCATCATCATCATCATACTCCTCCTCCGCCCGTTTCTTTCCGTCTCTGCTTCTTCGGAGTCCTCCTCATCCTCCCTTTTTCCCCCCCTCGTCATCATCACCACCACCACCACCGCCAGCACCATCATTGTAGTCATCATCGTCAGTAGCACCGCCATCGTCGCCTTCGTCAATGTATCCATCATCCGAATCATCCTCACCATCGCCTATCAGAACCATTGTCATCATCCTCATGATCCTCCTCATCCTCATCATCATCGACGTCGTCATCGGTCATCGTCGTCATCGGCGTCGCCATTGTCATCATCATCAGTTACAACAACAGCAACAACAACAACAACATCATCATCATCATCATCATCATCATCATCATCATCAACAGCAATAACAACAACATCAACATCGGGAGAAACACTTTGATTAAAAACATAGACTGTTTACCGGGGAGGGGGATCTACAACCATTATTCTTTATAATTGAGCACCCATGAACAACATCATCAACAACAATTGCAGCAGCAGCAGCAACAACAACTCTCAGCTCAAGACTGTTCGCTCTTATCTGCTCAAGTGCCATCACGTATATCATCAAACCCTGGATACCCGCCCTCTTTGTCTTCAGTCGTACCCCCTTGGGTGGATAACTTTTTACCTGCAACGTGCATTTCATGCAGCCCCTAAAGCAGGGGAAGAAAAGACAGATGGAAGGAGGGAGGAGGATGGAGCACGAGAGAAAACAGCAGGAGGGGGGCTAGGAGCAGAAAACACGTGGCAGAACCAAACGGGCAGATCGGGCGGGTGGACCCTAACAGGCGGGTCGGGAAGGCGGGCCCAGGCGGCCAGGTCGAGCAGGCGGGCTGCTGAAGCGTGCGTCCTGCGTGAATCGCGAGGAAGTCTCGAGCGATCGAGGGCGCGGCGTCTGAATAAATTGCGAGGACGTCCCACGCGAGAGCGCAACTTCCGCATAAACTGTGAGGAAGTCCCTTGCGAGAGCGCGATGTTGGAACACCTTGTTAGGAAATACCAAGCGGGAGCCGGTGTTGTTGCAAACCAGGGCCCAACAACACAGTTTGGTGACACCTCGCTGTCCCTTGAAAAGAAAAAGGTGCGAGTCCCGGGAGAAGCAGTGTAATTGAAAACATAATAGTTACCGGGGAGGGGGGATCAACAACAATTATTCTTTAGGAATGAGAATTCAGCAGCAACCACAACAACAACAAACAGCTTAATAATGTTCGCACTTATCTGCTCGCGTGGCATTCAACACGTATATGCCAAACCCTCTATACCCGCCCTCTTTGTCTTCGATTGTACCCCCCCCAAGGGGTATATCTTTCTTACCTGCATCGTGTATTTCGTGCAGCCTCTAAGGCAGGGGAAGAGAGGACGGATGGAAGGAAGGACAGTGGGCAGGCGGGTTGATGAAGCGTGCGTCCTGCATGAATCGCGAGGAAGTCTCAAGCGACAGCGCGATTGCCAAGTAAATCGTGAGGAAATCCACAGCGAGAGCGTTGTCGAGGGCGCAGCGTCTGAATAAGTTGCAAGGAAGTCCCACGCATAAATTGTGAGGACGTACGGCGCAAGAGCGTGATTTGAGATCACTCGGAGGGCAGGGGCCCAATGCTGAGACCCAGCACACTCCCTGATAAAACGCAGGGTGCGAGCCCCGGGAAGGACCCTTCAATTGAACAATACAATGTGCCCCAGAAGAGGGGATCAACAGTATTTATTCCATAAGAATGAGACTTCAACAACAACATCATCATCATCAACAACAACAACAACATCATCAACAACAATAACAACCACAACAACAACAACAACAACAACAACAACAACAACATCAACATCAACATCATCATCAACAACAACAACAAGTAAAACAACAACAATGACACAAAACAGCAACAACACGTATAACCACAACAACATAAACAATATTCAGCATAATCATCATCATCACCATCATTATGATCAGCAGTAGAAGGATCACCATCATCATCATCATCAGCAGCAGCATCAGCATCATCATCATCAGCATCGTCATCATCATCATCGCCATCATCACCATCATTGTCAGAATCGTCATCATCATCATCATCATCATTATCAATATCATCATCATCGTCGTCATCGTTGTCGCTGCCGTGGTCATCATCTGGATCATCAGCAGCAGAAGCATCATCAGTGACATCTTAATCACAACCACCACAACCATCATCAGTATCAACAGCATCATCATCATCAGCAGCAGCATCATCAGAATCATCATCATCAACATTATCATCAGTACCATCATCAGCATCGTCATCATCATCCCAAACATCACCATCAACATCAGCATCATCATCATCATCATCATCAGCAACATCAGCAGCATCATCATCCTCAGCATCATTATGGTCGTTGTCATCATCATCATCATCATCAGCAGCAGCAGCATCATCATCAGCAGCATCATCGCCATCGTTAGTCACATCCCCATCCTCCCTCATCAGGTGATGCCCCTCCCCCATCATCTGGGTAGTCATCACCATCACCATCAGCATCATCGACGGCATCGACATCCTTGCCATCACAACCACTATCATCTTCGCCTGAATCATATTCTTATGAGTATGCATAGGAAAATTCAGAACCATCCTCGCCTTCCTCATCTTCATGGTCCTCATGTCCCTCCTCGTCCTCAATGCTGCATTGGGTATCTTGTCCTTATCCTCCTCCTCCTCGTCATCCTCCTCCTCATCCTTCTCCTCATCCTCCTCCTCCTCCTCGGTCCCCTCCACTTCCTGAACCTCCTCCTCCTCCTCCTTCTCCTCCACCTCCTCCTCATCATCCTCATCGTCATCATCATCATCGTCATCGACATCATCATCATCATCAGCATCATCATCATCATCATCATCATCATCATCATCATCATCACCATGAGTAGCAGCATCATCATCAGCATCATCAGCATCAGCATTAGTATCATCGTCATTAGTATAGTCGGCGTCGTCGTCGCCGTGGCCATCGTACTCATCAGCATAATCATCATCAGCATCATCATGCTCATCATCATCATCAGCATCATCATCGTCATCATTACCAGCATTATCATCATCGTCAGCGCCATCATCAGCATCATCGTCGTCGTCGTCATCGTCGGCATCATCATCAGTATCAGTATCATCATCATCAGCATCATCATCCACATCAGCATCACCACCACCATAACCATCATCATGATGATCAGCATCAACATCAGCATCACCGTCATCAACATCACCATCTCATCAGCAGCATCACCATCGTCACCATCATCAACTGCATCTCATCAGCATCATCAACGGCATCATCAGCATCATTATCATCGTCATCATCACTATCAGCAGCAGCATCATCGGCATAATCATCAGCATCACCATCATCAGCAGCATCATCGTCAGCGTCATCATCATCAGCATCATCAGCATCATCAGCATCATCAGTTTCGTCGTCGTCATCATCATCGGCATCATCAGCATCGCCATCGTTAGTCACATCCCCATCCTCCCTCATCAGGTGATGCCCCTCCCCTTATCAAATGGGTCGTCATCACCATCATCGTCACCATCACCATCAGATCAGCATCGTCGACAGCATCGGCATCATTGACATCATAACCACCACCACCTTCGTCATAGTCATATCCCGATGAGTACACATAGGAAGATTCAAAACCATCATCGCCGTCCTCATCCTCAGGATCCGCAATCTCCTCCTCAATGCTGCATTGGGTATCTTGTCCTTATCCTCTTCGTCCTCCTCCGCCTCCTCCAGTTCCTCAACATCCTCCTCCTCATCATCCTCATCGTCATCATCATCAATATCATCATCATAATCAGCAGCAGCAACAGCATCATCATCAGCAGCAGCATCATCAGGATCATCAGCAGCATCATCACCATCATCATAATCGTCATCAGCATCATCATCATCGTCATCATCATCATCAATGTCATCAGCATCATCCTCAGCAGCAGCAACAGCATCAGCATCAGCATCATCAGCATCATCAGCATCGCCAGCATCATCATCAGCATCATCATCGTCATCATCATCATCAGCATCATCATCATCATCATCATCATCACTACCAGCATCGTCATCATCAGTATCAGTATCCGTATCAGCAGCATCACCATCATCATCATCATTATCAGCCCCATCAAGTGCAGCAGCAGCATCGTCATCATCATCAGCAGCAGCAGCCGCATCAGCATCATCATCCCACAGCTCGTGCTTCCTCCTCGTCCTTCTTCTCCTGTCTCGCTACTCCTCCGCCATTGTCCTCCTCCTCCTCCTCTTCTTCCTCCTCCTCTTCCTCCGCCTCTTCCTACTCCAACTCATCCTACTTCTCAGTTTCCTGATGTTCTCCATTATCATGCTTCTCCTCCTCCTCCTCCTCCTCCTCTTCCTCCTCCTCCTCCTCCTCCTTCACCCTCCTCCCTCATCAGTCGGCCTCCTCCTCCCCCCTCCCTACTTCCTCCTCCCTATTCCTCATCCTCTTTCATTTTTCCTCCTCCTCCTCTTGATGCCCCGAGCCTGGAAACTGTTCTCATGGTGTCAGTGCCCCACTTGCTCTGGGGCACACTGTCAGGGATTGAGAACGGTGAAATGGGAACGGGAAGGCGGCCGTCTTTTCCTTGGACAGGGATGATTTTGGCTCCCCTGCATCCTGGTCAATGTGGTCTGAATCTTGGCCCACTGCCGTGGCGTCCGCTGCAGCAACGAACGTGCATTTCTGGGAGGGGTGGTGTCGTGTGGCACGTGAAGCCTACGGGGCCCACTCCCAGGCGGGGATCCTCGTGTTCGAGATCTGTTATCTCGCCTGGTGCCAGCGGGTACCCCGTGTGCACATGCCCGTCGGCTGTTACCCTAAGCTGGCCATACTACACCGTGAGCATACGCCTGACAACCGTAAGCAAGTGAACTATGCCAGCGCAGCACCCGCAGTGTCGGGTGAACCTTAGCTGCAGGGGACCGTCGGCGGGGCGGCGAGCCAATGGGCGACTTGCCCCCTGTATGCCCCTATCCCAGTCTCCTCTTCACGGCATGACGCATAGCCGTTAAGTTTTAAACAGTGGTCCCAAAGAGCGGTCCTCCTCCTTCTCCTCTTGATACGCCAATTCATCCCGCTCGTCTGTTTCCTGATGTTCTCCCTTCTCCTGCTTCTCCTGCTCCTCCTGCTCCTCCTCCTCCTCCTCCTCCTCCTTCTCCTCCTTCTCTTCCTCCTGCTTCATTACTTTTCCTTCTTCCTTATAGATAACTCTTCCCTGTCGCACCCCGAGGCCGGTCGAAAGAGCGGGCTGGGGGTTTCGCCGGAGATTTCCTGATCATGTATAACCCTGAAGCTGAAAAAAGGCCAACAGTTCCACAAATGCAGGTCGGTTCGTTTTCAAAATGTGGCTCTCGCCTTAGCGCCGCGCACATTCGTGCTACAAAGCTGCACAAGAGCTTCACAGATTGAAAGCGGTTCGCTTTCAAATGTGTCTCTCGCTTTAGCGCTGCACAGATCATTTTCAAATTTGCAAGAATTTCACAAATTGAGGGCGGGCGGGGTTCACGATGGGGCTCTCGCCTTAGCGCCGCGGGCATTAGTTTTCAACAGTTGCAAGAGTTTCACGGGTCGAGGGCGGCTCCTTTTCAAAATGTGGCTCTCGCCTGAACGCCGCACAGACTCCTTTTCAACATTTGCAAGAGTTCTACGCAATCCCATGGCCAACGTACCAGATATGCCATATGCTGTTTTGGAAAGGATTCTGGATTGTGAAGGCGTAACAGTTACGTTGATTCGCGGTGTAGAAGTCTTAGGAATGGTGTTCTAGCACGATTCAGGATCGTCAAGACGCAACAATCAAATTGATATGCGGCGTCGGAGTCCCGAGAATGGTGTTTTAGCATGCTTCAGGGTCTTCAAACCGTTTTCTCCCAATGCGGCAATTCCCTCAATGGAGATGAACCCATGTAGGGGCCTACGAAAGGGGAGTTTGCAGGGCGGGTTTCTTCCAACATAGTTGCTGAAATGTGGATTTACACTGGTTTTCGTCCTCCACCTCCTCGTCCTCGTTCACCCCTTATCCTGCTCCTTTTCCTGCCCCTCCTCCTCCTCCTCCTCCACCCTCCTGACTCCGCAGTCTCCATTTTCTTCCCTCTCCAAGCAGCATCATCCTCATCATTATCATCAGCATCACCATCATCATCATCATTATCAGCATCATCATCATCATCACCATCATCATCATCAGCATCAGCATCATCATCATCATCATCATCTTCCTAATCCTCAATATTTTCATCTTACTCATTCTAGTTTCCCTCGTCATGCAATCTCTACTAACACCTCATCTCCGACATTATCCTCGTCATCTTCATCATATTCCTTCTCCACGACCTCCTCCTCTCCCTCGTCCCCTCTCCCCCCACCCCATCGCGACTGTCGCGGTGAAGAAGGGGGTGACAGCCGCAACCAGCAGCAGGCGCTGAGCCGACAGGGTGGGGAGGCAAGCTCCAAGCCCATTGCAGTAACGAAAGGTTCTTTGGAAACGCGCAAGACCTCAAGACAACCCGACGGATGCCAAGGCAGCTCCGAGAGGTTAGCAAGTTCCATCGATGGCCTCAAAGCGCCAAAGGCCCCGACAATGCGGCAGGTTTGTGTCGTGGCGACCCAGGCGCTGGTTTCCGACACCGCGCGGATTTTTCCATCGCAAAAGCGTCCCATATTGACCGAAGCCGCTGGTGGCGTTCAATACTTCGCGCCCGTTGCGGTGTCGCCGCGGCGTCGACGCTCAGGGCGGCCACAAGAGGGCTCAGTGATCAAGACGTGATCTCGACGCGGCTTCCAGCTGGCCGCACGGCATTGTAGATGTGGATACGCACGCCAATGTTGGAAGAATCTGCCAGCGTGCCCTGAGGCACAAATTGGAGTGTCCTTAATAAAGTAAACGGTGAAAAGAGGTAGGCGTGCTGGTGGCCTTGCCTCTGCCGTCGCGCCAATGGCGCGCAGCCCAAATTAGTTAATTAATGAAGCCGAAAATCTCTGCATTGAGTTCTAGAATATTCGCTAAGAGACCCACAGCCCAGAGTTCGGGGCACTCCGGGGCGCTCCGAAGCTCCCATCCCTGGGCACCTGGCCCAGAAGAGAAGTAGGAGGAGGAGGAGGAGGAGAATGAGGGTTGACGCGCATAGGTCTCAGACCCCGAAGCAGGCCTCGGGACTCAGGGAGCAGACGTTCCAAAATATATCTCGTTGTGGTTTGGCTCGCGTTGCCAGATGGTCGACCTCATCCCTCGTCCTCCTCATCCTGCTGCTCCTTCTCCTGGTGCTGCTGTTCACTCCTCCTCCTCCTCCTCCTCCTCCTCCTCCTCCTCCTCCTCCTCCTCCTTCTCATCCTAATAATCGTCCCCCTCCTCGACCTCCTCCCTCTCATCCCTCCTCCATCCTTCTCCCTTATCCTGATCCTTCCCTCCTCCTCCTACTCCTACTCATCCTCCTCTTCCTCCTCTTTCCCCCCTCCTCCTCTTCCCATATCACCGTCATCATCATCATCATCATCATCATCATCATCATCATCATCATCATCATCATCATCATCATCCTCATCCTCATCCTCATCCTCATCCTCATCCTCATCCTCATCCTCATCCTCATCCTCATCCTCATCATCATCCTCATCATCATCATCATCATCATCATCATCATCATCATCATCATCATCATCATCATCATCATCATCATCATCTCATCATCATCATCATCATCATCATCATCATCATAATCATCATATCATCAGCGTCATCATCATCATCAACAACAACATCAGTATCATAATCGTCATCAACAACAGCATCATCATCATCATCAGCATCGTCGTCCTCATCGTGAACATCATAATCATCATAATGGGCATCATCATCAACATCATCAACAACATCAGCATCAGCATCAGCATCAGCAAGAGCATCATCAGCAGCAGCATCATCAGCAGCAGCATCATTACCATCATCGTCATCATCAACACCATCGTCAGCAGCATTGTTCTCAGCAGCAGCAGCGTCATCATCAGCATCATCAGCATCATCAGCAGCAGCACCAGCGTCGTCATCATCAGCATCATCAGCAGCATCACGACGTCTTCGTCATGATCATCATCATCAGCATAATCAGCATCATCAACATCATCAGCATCATCATATGTATCTACAGCATCATCGGCATCATCACCACCAGCATCGTCATCATCGTTGTCATCATCGTCGGCAGCATCATCACAGTTTATCGTCATCATCATCGTCAACATCGTTATCATCTTCATCATCGTCAACTTCGTCATCATCGTCATCATCGTCATCGTCATCATCATCATCGCCATTGTCGCCATCGTCGCCATCGCCGCCATCATCAGCAACATCAGCATCAGAACCCCCACATCGTCAACATCATCACCAGCAGCATCCGCATCAGCATCCGTATCAGCATCATCATCATCATCATCATCATCATCATCATCATCATACGTATCATTAGTATGGTCGTCGTGGTCATCAGACGCATGACCGTTGTCACCATCAGCAGGTCCATCATCTTACAATATGAATCAGTAGATATGCCATCGCTATCAGCATCATCGTCATCATCATCATCAGCATCATCACCATCACCATCGCCATCGCCATCACCATCACCAAAATGCTCCTCATCGTCATCGGTGTCGTCCCCTTCCTACCCTCCCTCGTCTTCTCTCATGCATCATACCCCCTCTTCTCCTCTACCTCCTCATCTTCCCCCACCCCTCCCCTTCCTCCCTGCATTCGCGGGAGACCCCCAACGCGCGCGAGCATGCTGCCAGGAAGAGGCACGCGACAAGAGAGCGCAAGCCTCTGATCCGCTCAAGTAGCGGCTGCCAGGGATCGGCATGGGCCAGTGCTTCCTTTGGCCGGGCAAAGCATCCTCCTCCTCATCATCATCCTCACCGTCATCATCATGTCGTCGTTATCGTCGCCGTTATCATCATCAGCGGCAGCATCGTCGCCCGTCTACCCATCACCATCATATTTCATCGTCTGAATCGTCGACCGCATCTTCATATTCATCGAACCATATCCATAATCACCCTTCTCATCTAGCTCCCCCTGCTCTCATCGCTTCCCTCCTCCTCCACCTCCACCTCCTCAAACTCCTACTCTTTCCTCCTCGAACTCCTCCTTCCCCTTCTCATACTCCCCCTCCCAGCAGAGTAGCTGCATGGTGTCTCGGGCTGCACCGCCACCAGTGACCGAGAGGCAAGAAGAAACTAAGAAAACGAGTGCACAACATTCGAGATCAGATACGTGTTACGCTGGAAAGCAGTTCGAGCTCACTATGCACACGAAACTGAAGTCGGCGGCTGGCAGCAACAGCTCAGCGCAGCTTACAGCAGTCGAGCTCTCGCAAGTAGTACATGCGACTCGGGACGGTTCAAGTGTCCGACTGCGCGCTTGCACGAAGAAGCCGCAGCGCGAAACTCTGGGGATTCGCAAAACAAATGTATGTGAACCCGTTTGGGGCCTACGCGCTTCTTGATGCACTGTGACATCATAAAATGTTGGGAAGTCGCGACTTGCTGTGCGATCCGCGACCTCCGCACGAGCTCACCATACACATATTCACAGACTCTGTCGAAACCCAAGTCGCAAGACTGCAGGCCCGTGTGCACCAAGGGCCACAGAGAAAAGCACGACGCATAGAAGGGTCAGGCGAGGACTTGAGGCAACAGGACAATCCCCAAGCGTAATGTATGCAGAAAAGCCACCGCTTGACAAGGCGATCCATCGTTCTGAGACATGTTACGGTCACTCTTAAAATGCATTCAAATATCTAGAAAACGGTAATCGGATGTGTTCGCCGAGAGACTGAGCCGAAACGTGTTGAAGGTCAGTATCAACAGGGAATTGAGACCGGGAACCGCCGGCTCAACGTGAGATGTTCGCCCAAAGTGTCAGCAGTCTCATGCGTTGCCATGAGGGGGCCACCATTGGGACTTTGATATGACTGCATTCGGCACTCTGCAGGCACGAGATTGCAGGCACGCCAAGCATTTCAGAATGAGTGCGAACCAGCGAACCTCATAGCAGCAGAAGTCAGGAGAAGCACCAGAAAGAGCATCACTCCGCCCAAGCAACGCCGAGCAACAGTGGGCGAGATCTGAACCGCCTCTTCCTGGGGCGGCAGCACGCTTCGGCACCGCAACTGTTTGAAAAGTTGGTCAGCGAGAAGGCATCGTGTCACTCCAATCAAGGAAAACATGGATTGCATAATGTCGAAGTGGCCCTCACATCAAAAGCCGAGGAAGCCGCCCACATGCAAGTTGGGCTGGTTAGCCTCGGTCTCGAGCCGAGCAGAACGAAGAATTGTGATTCAGCCGCTGAGGTGCGAACGTCGACCCAGTCGAATGTATCGCCACAAGATTAGACGCAGTTTCGCACTGAGTCAACTTGCCAGATAACTCATTCCTAGCTAAGTCGGTTCTAGAGAAGCGATCCTCCGTCTGCGATGTCTCAAACTTTGTTTTGCCTGGCCGGGACGCCTGCGAGAGACCGTGTTGGTGCGCACTCTGTATCTTCGGCAGCCCTCTCTGCAGTGGTGGTAGGTGCACTCCACCACCAGCAGCAGCACAAACCATATCCTCAGCAACCCGCTGCTCTGATGTACAGAAGTGAGTCTTTTTTTTGTTGGCATGATCAAAGAACATAGCCTTGATCTCAGCAGCAGGCCCCCTTGAAAGGGTGCGCCAGCGTACCTGGTGCAAGCCACATTTTCGCGTGGCAGTGACATCTGTTTGCGCCATAACAGGCAAACAAAAATAAACATACAAATAACATCAGAACAAACAATTATGTGAGGAGGTTCGGCAACAATTTGTGCTCGGCCCTCTGAGCGCACTCGCTACTGGCTGAGAACTACCGGAGGACTGCAACAGGCATCCAAGTCCGTGCCATGAGCACCGTGGCCAGCCAAGCAAGGTCATGTTCCACTGTTGTGGATAATACATACTCGCTTTCACGGCTTCGTGAGATCTTTGGCAGTTGTTCTTTGCCCGTGATTCCGCAAGCGCGCGCGGTGAAACCAGCTGCCTTTCGTGGATGGTAGCGCTGCCAGGAGACAGTCCTGCAGCACTCACCACTGAGCCAGAGGGCGCAACATGCTGTGCAAATGGCCCGCGGCCCGTCTGGAGCCAAATCACCGCGGTTGGCGCGGCCACACAACTATACAACTGCCTCCTCCCCCCTCCAATCCCCGCCGCTCCCATCGCTTCTCACCGCACCTCCCCTCCTCTGCTCCTCAAAAAGAAAAAAAGAGAGAGGGAAGGAGAGAAAGAGCGATCCGGAGGGGGAGAGAGGGAACGAAGGAGGGATGAGGAGTGAGAAGGGAAAGGGAGGGAGCAGGCCTCAACGCCAGCACCTGGTCCTTGTGACTGCTCGTTCCCGTACCTTGGGACGCAGAAGGACATGCTAGTACGATGTGTCTTCCTTGGAGGCGTGCGTCCGACCCAAACATAAAGCATACCCATGTTGTAGTATATCGTTTCCCGAGCGGAACGGCCAGAAAGATTTCTCGGCGCGCGCGTCGCCCCTTCGGCGGGGACATACACATAGTACGAGCACCCTCGTCAAAATTAACCTCAAAAATGGCGACCACGCCCCTGCGATGTCGGCGCGCCCTTCGATGTCGATAGACGCCCCGTGTCGGGGCCAGGGCAAAAGTGGTCTGACAGGGAACGACTCGGAAGGTCGATGCTGGCCGACATCAGGGGGGCGGCGCATACAAGCACCTCGCAGTCACCGCGACTCTGCCCAGTACCTCCCCACAAACACTCCAGCCGCGCAAGACGTGCTTGAGGCCAACTCGGACGAGGGCTGCAGCATGTTCGGGTGACGCCTGTGCAAACTGCTGCGCCGGAGTTGGGATTTCTTTACCCTGCTGCCGAAATTCCACAATGAGAGCTTTGATTGCTATGTCGAGCATGGTGCTGTAGTCTGTAGCCTCCTCTTCCACTGATAAAAGGAATATCAGGAGGCACGAAGTGCTTGCGGTCACGCTGGGCGTCTGGCGTATAACGATAAATTAGAACACCCAGCACGCCCAATTTTTTGGACGCCCGAAATGGGTACGGAAAGAATGGGCACTATGCCCAACAACCAATGTTGTCCCAAACCAACAGCGGCCGCTGTTGGGCGGGCGGCCTCCTGTCTCGAATGGACACAGGCCGCGGCGGCGTGGACAGCGGATCTTGTTCAAAATGAACAGGAACTGCTGTTGGGCATCGTACCCATTCTTTCCGTGCCCATTTCGGGCGTCCAGAAATTTGTATCCCTGCATCGCAGAGGGGGGCCGGCGGCGCCCCCAACAGTGGCCGCGGACCCTGGGTAGGGGGGGCCAACGGGGAGAGGGCGGTGGTCCACGGCCCCAGCGCGCCGCCGCGGCCGCGGCGCCGGTGCACGGGCTGGCTGGCCCGCACGTGGCGGTGCCGCGTGCAGGCTGCGCAGGTGCTGGCACGATGCCAGGCACAGTCGACCCCCCTCCTCCTCCTCTTCCTCCCTCCTCCCTCCTCCTCCTCCTCCTCCTCCTCCTCCTCCCTCCCTCCTCCTCCTCCTCCTCCTCCTCCTCCTCCTCCTCCTCCTCCTCCTCCTCCTCCTCTCCTCCTTCCTCCTCCTCCCCTCCTCCCTCCTCCCTCCTCCCTCCTCCCTCCCTCCCTCCTCCCCCTCCCTCCTCCCTCCTCCCTCCTCCCTCCTCCCTCCTCCTCCTCCTCCTCCTCCTCCCCCTCCTCCTCCCCCTCCTCTCCTCCTCTCCGATCCTCCTCCTCCTCCTCCTCCTCCTCGACAAGGACGCGCGGTGAGGGCGCAGGGGCCCGGGGAGGCCATGTCGGCAACCTGCGAGCGGGGCGCGGTCAGAGCAAGCGGCCAAGCCTGGGCCGAGGTGGAAGGACGCAAGGGTAACTGAACCTTGGAAAGCCGCTCGTCCTTACTAGTCGGGTTGACCGTGAGTCGGTCCCCATTCGAGCAAGGCGAAGCCCGCGTGTGCAGCTGCGCATCCGCACCATGGGGAAGGCAGGGGAGCATCGAGGGCTGCTCGACGTAACCGCCGAGCAGCAGCAGCAGCAGCAGCAGCAGCAGCAGCAGCAGGCGGCGATGCCGCTCCTCAAACGACGCGAAGATCGGAACAAAGTCGGATCGGGATAACTCGAAATCTCTGAGAGACGGCGGGTTTGGAAGATGTATTGGGCGCCGCGGCCGCTCCAGAGCGTTCAGGAACGCTCTGAGAGCGCTCCGGAACGCTCTGGAGCGATTTATCCCGATCCTAGCCCTGTTTTAGCTCCTCTGGCCTCGGCAGTCCTTACACATCCACCGACGCTCCCCTTCTCGGCCACGCGGCCGCTCTCCCGGACGCGCCGGCACTCCAGCGGTCACCTCCCCGGAGGCCCGACGAGGCCGCGCGCAGGCCGATTTGGACGACGTCGGCGATGCGGCCGAGCAGGCGGCGATGCCGCTCCTCTGGCCCCGGCAGTCCTTACACATCCACCGACGCTCTCCTTCTCAGCCATGCGGCCGCTCTCCCGGACGCGCCGGCACGCCAACGGTCACCTTTACGTCGGGCGTGTCCCCCTACAGGGGGATTTCTACGAAACAATGAAAATACCCCAAAAATACTCCAAAAAGGCCCCCCAGACTATTTTTGGAGTATCTTTTGATGATTTTGGGGGTATCTGTTATTTTTCGTCGAAAATCCCCCTGTGGGGGGCCTCGTCCCCCTTCCCCCTCCTGGTCCCCCCCCCCTTGGCTCTCTCCGAAATTACACATAATGAATACTACTCGCCTCTCCCCTGGTGACGTCTGGGAAATATCCGACCCCCCTCCGCGTACTGGCTTTTCAAACACAAGATTCCCGGGAAACGGGTTTTCGCTTGGGTTTTTTCGAAATGCTGCTCTCGCTGAAGCGCTGGCCTCATTTTCGGGCTACCGCTCGTTCCGAACCGTGTTCCCGCTGCAGCGCTGGCTTCATTTCCGCGATTCCGCTCATTCCGTATCGTGCTCCCGCTGCAGCGCTGGCGTCATTATTTCCAGCGCCATGCCACGGCATGGATTTCGGTCCTTCCAAATAGGCCCAAAAATCTAGACAATGGCCCCCCGAAACAACTATCGGAAGTGATTACACATTCGGTGTCGATTCGTTGATTTGTTGGGCCGCGGAAGCCCCTCCCCCATGTCAGGCAACGCGTTGATCTTCAACACCATGATATACCATGTAATGCTATGTCATGCAATGCCCTGCTTCGACATCCGACTGTGCGAATAGAGAGATCTACGCCATGGTCAGGGATGGAAGGGAGGGGTAGGACGTCAGACATGACGCGAGCGCACCTAGCTTGTCCTCCTCCCCTCTCCTCCCTCCCTCCGTGCCTCGTCCTCCGTCCTCCCCGTGAAGCGCCCTGAGAAGGGAGGGCACCCCACCCCTTGATCTCTACATGGGAGCATTTTGACCCCATCCCATTAACCTTTGCACGGGACCGTTTCGACTCGAATGTCGACGGGAATCCAGAAGTGGCGACGAGAAATCTCTCTGAAGCCCACCCCCGAAGCGCTGCAAAACCTCTATCAACGACCCTCGCCCCACTCCTGGATCAGGAGCCCCCCTCCTGGGATCTTCCTGCCCTCCTCCTCCTCCTCCTCCTCCTCCTCCTCCTCCTCCTCCTCCTCCTCCTCCTTCCCTCCCCCCCTCCCCCTCCCCCTCCCCCTCCCCCTCCTCCTCCCTCTCCTCCTCCTCCTCCTCCTCCTCCTCCTCCTCGGGAACGCGCCGTCCTGCCGCGGCGGCTCTTGTGGGTGTGCAGGAAGCAGGCGGGGCAGAAGTAGTCCTGCGGAGATACAAAAGGGGAGGGAGAGGGAGGGAGGGGGACGCGGTAAGAGAGGCAGGACGACGACGACGACGACGAGGACGACGAGGAGGAGAACGACGACGACGACGACGACGACGACGACGACGATGAAGACGAAGAAGACGAAGAGGATAACGGGCAGGAGGACAGCGAACAAGCACGGGCACGGGGGTGAGGACGACCAGGAAGGGGGCGAAGGCGGTGAGGAAGGCCGGAGAGGAGTGGGATTGAACGGAAGAGGCAGACGGTACGTCTCCCCGTGAGTCGCCTCCTCCTCATCCGCCTACTCCTCCTCCTCATCCTCCTAACCATCATCATCATCATCATCATCATCATCATCATCATCAGCATCATCATCATCAGCATCATCATCATCATCAGCAGCGTCATCGTCATCATCTGCATCATCATCAGCAGCAGCAGCATCATCATCATCATCATCACCGCCGTCATCATGATGACGATGATGATCATCATCATCATCAGCAGCAGCAACAGTATCATCATCATCATCATCATCATCATCATCATCATCATCATCATCATCATCATCATCATCATCATCATGATCATCATCATCATCATCATCATCATCAACATCACCATCATCATCATCATCATCAGCATCATCAGCATCATCATCATCATCATCATCATCATCATCATTATCATCATCATCATCGTCGCCGTCGTCGTCGTCATCGTCATCGTCATCGTCATCGTCATCATCTGCATCATCATCAGCAGCAGCATCAACATCAACATCAACATCAGCACCATCAACATAATCATCAGCATGAGCATAATGATAATCGTAATCAGCATCGTCACCATCATGATTATCATCATCAGCATCATCATCAGCATCAGCATCACCATCATCATCATCGTCATCATCATCACCATCATCATCAGTAGCAGCAGCATCAACATCAGCATCAACACCATCATCATCAACATAATCATCAGCATGAGCAGATTGATAATCGTAATCAGCATTGTCAGCATTATCATCATCACCATCAATATCATCACCATCATCACCATCATCACCATCAGCATCAGCATCACCATCACCATCGCCATCATCGTCATGAGCAGCAGCACCATCATTAGTAATATTCTCATTATGACGATGACTATTCTTTCATCATCATCATCGTCGCCATCATGATCATCATCATCATCAGCACCATCGTCAGCATCATAATCATCATCATCATCATCATCATCATCAGCATCATCATTAGCATCATCATGGTCATCGTCATCGCCATCGGCATCGTCATCGTCATCAGCAGCAGCATCATGACCACCATCACCATCACATCACCAGCAGCATCACAGTAATCATCGATCGCCATCGATCAGAATCATCATCATCAACATCAGTACAATCACCATCATCACGACCGGCACCGCATCCGACATCCCTATCACCATCATCACCATCATAATCATCAACATCATCAGCATCATCATCATCAGCCTCATCAGAATCATCAGAATCATCATCAGCATCATCACGACCAGCACCACATCTGACATCCCCATCACCATCATCACGTCACCATCAGAATCATCATCAGCAGCATCATCATAACCATCATCATTTTCATTGGCATCATCATCAGCATCGCCATCGTGATCTTCATATTCACAACCTGTCGTCATTACCAAAATGATAACGGTCATCACCATCATCACCATCACCTTCATCATGAGCATCATCGGCGTCACCACCGTCATCGTCGATCGTCGTCGCCATCATCAAGAGAATGATCAGCCTCATACTCATCATACCCAACATATCATGTCCATTGTCATTCCCATCACCAAGACCATGACCATACCGTACTCATCATCACCATAGCCATCAGCAGCGAGGGCATCAGCATCACCATCATCATCATCATCATCATCATCATCGTCTTCATCATGAGCAGCAGCAGCATCAGCATCACGATCAGCATCATCACCATCATCACCATCATCACCATCAGCATCAGCATCATCATCAGCAGCAGCAGCATCCTCAACATCCTCATCCTCATCATCCTCAGCCTCATCCTCATCCTCACACGCATCCTGTCCCTTTTCCATCTCAGCGCCACGCTGTGTCGATTCCTTCGCACGCGCGCCCATGTCCCGATTCGCCCGCAAACGCCCATCCGAGTATCAGTTGGGGAGGTGTCTTCGCGGACGCGACCAGATACCCTCCAGCACACTGACCCTTCGGCGCTATTCCCACCAATCAACTAGGCGGCAGCTGGCCTGAGTGTGCAGCAACCTCCTTCCTGAAATCCCCCCTTCCCGAGGTCCCAAATTCGGCGGCTCGCTCAGCTTCAAGGGTTTCACACTCGCCTCTAAGACCGAAGATGAAGACGTGCAAAAGCGGTGTAAAACACGAATGTTGGGCACGTTGAACTTCCAAAAGGGCCTTCAGGAGGGCAACGTGTTCTTCCACTACTCCGCCCCTGGCCCCAAGAAGCTTCCCAAGACGATCCAAGAGGCTCGCAAAGGCACAACGAAGAGACCAACAAGAATACCCTAAATGCGCCCGAATAACTCCCAACAGGCCCAAGAGGCCCCCGAAAGGCCGCCACGAGGCGTCAAAGACAGTCCAAAAGGCCCCGCATGCGGACCAACAAAGCCCCGTGACGCTACGAGGACGCCAAGATGGCATAAGGGGGCCCTGAGCCGTCAAGAGACCACGGGAGGCTTTAGTATCAAGGGGAACGCGAGGAGGATGAAGATTTCGATTGCGAGGGAGCGAAAGCCGAAGACGGGTACGACAGCGAATAAGAGAAAAAGAATGAGAGGACGGAGTGAGTAACCGCACTCTGAATGTTCGCACATCCAGACATCCGAAATCAGATTGGTTCAGGTCGCGTATAAAACTAAGACGTAATACCTGACCGTCACTGGCGGCACTGCGCCCGACAGTGCTCGATTAGACCACGTGCGACCAGACCACATCAGGCAATGCAATTGCACGTTCGACCAGATAGAAAATAACAATGCACGGGTCGCTGGATGGGCCAGTGGGGACGATCGAAGCTCTTAGACTTAGGGCCATCTGCGCCACAGGGGTGGCGAGAATGATGAGGAGAAAGAGAAGGCGAAGGCACGGAAGCCGGGGAGCGAATGGGGGGCTCTTCCTCCTCCTCTTCCTCCTCCTGCTCCTCCTCTTCCTCCTCTTCCTCCTCCTCCTCCTCCTCCTCAACCTCCTCCTCCTCCTCCTCCTCCTCCTCCTCCTCCTCCTCCTCCTCCTCCTCCTCCTCCTCCTGCTCCTACCCCATATGGCGGCCCTGGACGTTCGAGGCTCGCGCCCGCCGACGGCTTTCAGGTGGGCGCCGCAGTCCGTGCACTGCTGGCACCAGATCACCGAGTCGGGGATGCCACACTCGCTGCACTTCATCTTCACGAACCCTGGGGGGGAGGAGGAGGAGGAGGAGGAGGAGGAGGAGGAGGAGGAGGAGGAGGAGGAGGAGGAGGAGGAGGAGGAGGAGGAGGGTGCGAGCGCGAGGTGGAGCAGCGGCAGCGGCAGCGGCAGCCGGGGAAGAAGGAAGAGGGAAGCGGCGGCGAAGACGGCGATGACCGACGACGACGACGACGACGACGACGACGACGACGACGACGACGACCAGCAGCAGCAGCAGCAGCAGCAGCAGCAACAGAAGCAACACACTGGAGAGTGGAGGGAAGGGAAGAAGAGTTAATGGGGAGGAACGCAGGAGAAAGGGTCAACGAGGCAGGATGCAGGAGCAGGGACTAGGGAGCGAAGAAGGGAGGCGGGAGGGGGAAAAGAGAGAGGGATGTAAGGAGACAGGGAAGGCGAGAGAGTTGGGGAGAGAGAGGGGAGGCTGAGAGGGGAGGACGGGGAGGAGGGAGGAGAGAGGAGAGAGTGAGCGAGAGGAGGGAGGACGGAGGGAGGGAGGGATCGAGGGGTGGAGGGATGAGGGAGGAGGGAGGAGGGAGGAGGAAGCGAAGGAGTGGAGGAGGCAGGAAGGGAGGGGCAAGGTGAGAAGAGACCGCAACAGTTCGGACAAGTCTGTCTGCCCTGGCCCAGCGGATTGTCAATGCCGCCCAGGCCATCCACAGAATGGCCAGAGGAGCAGCAAACGAACAACGATGGGGAAAGACACCCTCCCGTGACGCGGATTAAGGGGTCCTCGACTGACACAGGAAACAGAGGTGTGGTGATCAAGGCGTGGCACGCCCCGTCTGCACACCCGAGCAACAGGCGCCGGCTTCCAGGGCGCGTTGGCCTGCGCGCACTGGCACCTCAGTGGCCCGTGGCGCCACCTGGGGGCACCCCCCGCAGCGGCCCACCGCGAAGGCCGCGGAGAGGCTGCTGGCAGCTCCCGCAGCGCACCCGAAACGGTCGCGCCCGTCGCGCCCGTGGTAGTGCCTGATGCGTTTGTCTCTCGTAGGCGTCCAGGCGCGTGGGGGTGAGCTGGTTGAACATGACGCATCCTGTCTTGAACACGGCGTGGCATCCAGCCCACGTCTCGCAGTCGCAGGGGCCGCACAACTCCACGGGCGCAGTTGTGCCTGATGGATGCAGCTTGGGCCCCTCGAGGCGGATCTTCTCCTGGAGCCTCCTGTAGGACGGCCCCCAGACCGCCATGTCGGTGTAGGGTGGCTCCCGTTCTCGAGTAGCGAATGGAGGCATAACAGCTGCTTGGCCGAGAGCTCCTCGCCCGCTGGTGGGAAGGCGCCGCTGCGCGCGTGGTAATGGGCGCACGCCTCCTGAACCTTTGAGTTGTCCAAGACCTCCCTCGACCTCAGTCGTCAGACTGGTCGATGACGACGGCCCCGTGTGTTCCCCTCTGCCGCCGCCGCCGCCACTCCCACCACCACCCCCTCCTGCGCCGCCGCCACCGCCACCGATGGTCATGGCCTGCACCTGGGTGTCAGAAGCCTGCATTCAGGCCAGAACGCGACACGCTCGCCTAGGCAACCCACCTTGGTTTTTCTCAGCCAGCGAGGGTGACGCAGCTTCACCCCTGTGCTCGATGACCCAGCCGACGACGAGCGCGTTGAAATCGGCCACGGGGATCCCCCCCGGGAACCTGGGGTGCTCCGCGCCTGTGACTCCTCGGAGGGTGTACAGGCTCTCCTTGGCCAATGTCCGACCTTCTCCCACGAGTCCAGCCCACGTCGCGACTTCGTTGCTGGCCGCCATGGATGCGGCCTCGGTGCTGGTTGGGTCGATCATCATGGCACCGCCGAGGAGATCCACTCGGAATCTGAAAGAAGCGGCGGGTCCAGAGCGGTCCCAGGCGGGGCCTGGGCGATGAGAGTGGCAGCAGAGAGTTGCAGCGAACTTTAAGCCACAGTGGCCGCGAATGTCGTTGCCTCTTCTGCTGCACCGCATGGCATGATAACCCCCACCTCCCCACCGAAGAGTTTCCCACGAGTGTTCTCACCGCGCTGCAAGCTCTGTTACCCAAAATTACCCTGGCGACGTACCCAACCCCTGCGCAAACGCGGGGCGCAAATAGTTTAGGACACTTTGTAAAAGGGGGCGATGACGGAACGAGGGTTACATATGTCTGCAGACGGAATTCGGGACACTCGCAGGACACTGGCTACAGGACAAGGACTAGATAAAGCTGACTAGTTACAATCCCTGAGCAACCCTAGCCACTTCGAAGGCGGGGATCTCAGATCGCAGCCCCCCAGGGATGGCGAGGTCTAATTTGGGTCCGCGCGTGGCGACACTGTGCTGGGCCCCCCAGCAGGCCTCGAAAGTGGCGACAGTTTCACAGATCGCAGCCCCCCAGGGATGGCGAGGTCTAATTTGAATCGTGGCGTCACTGTGCTGGGCCCCCAGCAGGCCTCGAAAGTGGCGACAGTTTCACAGATCGCAGCCCCCCAGGGATGGCGAGGGTCTAACTTTCGAAAGTGGTGATGGCGAGGTCACGTGTGCTGGGCCCCCCAGCAGGCCTCGAAAGTGGCGACAGTTTCACAGATCGCAGCCCCCCAGGGATGGCGAGGTCTAATTTGAATCTGCGGTGGGTCACTGTGCTGGGCCCCCCAGCAGGCCTCGAAAGTGGCGACAGTTTCACAGATCGCAGCCCCCCAGGGATGGCGAGGTCTAATTTGAGTCCGCGGTGGGTACCCACTGTGCTGGGCCCCCCAGCAGGCCTCGAAAGTGGCGACAGTTTCACAGATCGCAGCCCCCCAGGGATGGCGAGGTCTAATTTGAGTCCGCGGTGGTACCCACTGTGCTGGGCCCCCCAGCAGGCCTCGAAAGTGGCGACAGTTTCACAGATCGCAGCCCCCCAGGGATGGCGAGGTCTAATTTGAGTCCGCGGTGGGTACCCACTGTGCTGGGCCCCCCAGCAGGCCTCGAAAGTGGCGACAGTTTCACAGATCGCAGCCCCCCAGGGATGGCGAGGTCTAATTTGAGTCCGCGGTGAGTACCCACTGTGCTGGGCCCCCCAGCAGGCCTCGAAAGTGGCGACAGTTTCGCAGCCCCCCAGGGATGGCGAGGTCTAATTTGAACCCACTGTGCTGGGCCCCCCAGCAGGCCTCGAAAGTGGCGACAGTTTCACAGATCGCAGCCCCCCAGGGATGGCGAGGTCTAATTTGAGTCCGCGGTGGGTCACTGTGCTGGGCCCCCCAGCAGGCCTCGAAAGTGGCGACAGTTTCACAGATCGCAGCCCCCCAGGGATGGCGAGGTCTAATTTGGTCCGCGGTGAGTACCCACTGTGCTGGGCCCCCCAGCAGGCCTCGAAAGTGGCGACAGTTTCACAGATCGCAGCCCCCCAGGGATGGCGAGGTCTAATTTGAGTCCGCGGTGAGTACCCACTGTGCTGGGCCCCCCAGCAGGCCTCGAAAGTGGCGACAGTTTCACAGATCGCAGCCCCCCCAGGGATGGCGAGGTCTAATTTGAGTCCGCGGTGAGTACCCACTGTGCTGGGCCCCCCAGCAGCCCTCGAAAGTGGCGACATTTTCACAGATCGCAGCCCCCCAGGGATGGCGAGGTCAAAGGCAGGGGCGAAGAGAGGGACGGGAGGGGGTGGGAAGGAGACGCGCGGGGTTGGAAGGAAGGAGACGCGCGAGCAGTGCTCTATTCAAAACGAGAACCCAACGCAGGAGGGTTGGGAAAAAACATGGGGCGACCGAACGGGGAGGACAAAAAAGGCAAGGCGGCACGGGCAGAAGCGCATGGGGGGAAACAAGGGGCGCGGGGAGAAGAACTAGTGGCCCGTCCAAAACTTCTTGCTTCGTCGCCGCGATGGGTGTGGCATCGACTTCTAACCCCCCTCATCCTCCTCCTCCTCCTCCTCCTCCTCCTCCTCCTCCTCCTCCTCCTCCTCCTCCTCCTCCTCCTCCTCCTCCTCCTCCTGCTCCTCGCCTCCTCCTCCTCCTCCATCCTCCTCCTCCTCCTCCTCATCCTCCTCCTCCTCCTCCTCCTTCTCCTCCTCCTTCTCCTTCTCCTTCTCCTTCTCCTTCTCCACATGACGAGGGGTCCTTCGGCGGCGAGCGAGGGGGGGAAGTGACAACGAGAGGGCCTTCTCAGAAGGCGGCCGGGCTCCTCCGACCAGAAGGCCTCTGGCCTCCTGAGAGGTGTCTGCGTCTGCGTGGAAGGCTCAGAAAACTTCTCGGAAGGCCCGAGGCCGTCCGAGCCTTCTGGGAAGGCCCGCCCCTTCTCACTTCCCCCGCGGGCTCGCCGCCGAAGGGGCCCTGCAATCAGACCTGCAGGCAGACTCTGCGATAGAGACCGCCTTCAGCGATCGCTTGCGCGCCAGGCGCGCGCCGCGGGCGCCTCGGTAGTCCCAGAGGAACTCGTTCTTCATGCAGTCGTCCAGGTGCTTGCGGAACTCCTTGATGAGGGGGTGCACGGGCTGTGCCACGTCGCTGGGCAGGTGAATGTACCTCCACCGCCTCTCCCCCGGCACACAAAACTGGCATGAACTCCTTTCCGCCTGCCTGCTCGCAGCTTCCCTGCTGCTGCTTCGACCCAGGGGGGCGGGTCATCAAAGCAATGCTGCTGAGAATCGCCCTCCCCGCGAGATCGAAACTCCTAGCAGGAGGAGCCCGAGAGGTGGGATAAGAGGGAAGAGCAAACTCATTATTCTCCCCCTCCAGTTCCTCCTCCTCCTCCTCCTTCTCCTCCTCCTCCTCCTCCTCCCCCTCCTCCTCCTCCTCCTCCTCCTCCACCACCACCTCGTCATCCACCTCGTCCTCCCCCCCTCCTTCTCCTCCTCCTTTTCCTCCTTGTCCTCATTATCCTCCTTCTCCCCATATGCCAAGGGCCTGAAGGGGGCGCTGCTGGTCCAAGGCCATGGCCCAGAGGCTCGCGCGGCTCCTGATCGCTGCGTGCATGTTCTCCTTGGCCAGACGGCGCTCGCCACGGAGGGTCGAGGCACTCGATGCGCAGTTCTCGCGACGACGATGCCAAGAGGCCTGCAGCCACCTGCGCAGCCCACACGAACCTATTCCATCAGGCACGCGCGCCCACGGAATAGCCACACTCGCCGTAGCACACTGCGAACATCGCGTGGCATTCTGCCTCCCACCATTGGAGGTGGTCGGACCACAGACTGACAAACAGAGTATGCACCGCCAGAGAGACAGAACACGGAAGGAACGAAAAAGCACACAAGGGCTGCATGCGAGAAAAGATACGACATGCGAACGCCGTCGTTGAGACGCCGTCCGTCCATCTGCATGCCCGCCGTGCACGCTTCAAGAGAGATACCCGACCGGGCACACGTGGGAAACGCGGCCGGCAGCGGCGAGCCAGAAACCACATCCTCCACTTCCGAGCCCGGCTTGCTCCAGCTCGAGGGGCCACGATAGGGGGGGACTGGCATGGGGGGGGATGCATCGACCTGGAATCGGCGATACATCGCCGATGGATCGGCGATAGGCCCCCGATAGCGAATCCGCACCTTTCCTGTGCAGGTTGGGGCTGTCGGGCCCCTATCGACGATCCACGGGCGACTCGGGGTCGAGGCAGCCCCTCCCCTAAGGGTTAGGTCGGGCATGTCCCCCTACAGGCGGATTGTGGGCGAAAACACAAAAATACCACCAAAATACTCCCAGAATGCTCAGAAATAGAATACATATATATATATATATATATATATATATATAGATGTACATATACATGTACATATATATATATATATACACATATAAAGAAAACAAACAAACAAACAAACAAACAAAAACAAACAAAACAAACAAACAAGAACAACAAAAAACAAAAAAAAACTCAACAGGCTATTTTTCACTATTTTGGGATATTCCCCCTGTGGAGGGAGTGGCGCCCGACGCAACCCCATGCCTCTCCCCCCCCCAAATCGCTGCCCCCGACAGCTGCCAGGCGGGACCTCGAAGCGAAGGCCCAGCAGCACGCGCAGCCCGCCCTCCCGGGCTGCGGCCGCGGCGGGCGCCCGCCCCTGGCCGCGCGCCCCCGGTCCTGGCCTCCCTGCCTGGCTGGCCCCCGCCACCCCCGAGAGGGGAGCGCCCCGATGCGGCACCCCGGGCCGAAATGGCTCGAGCGGGAGTGGCAGCGGCTGCGGACTGTCCCCCTCTCTCCCTCCCTCTCTCTCTCTCTCTCTCTCTCTCTCGTGATCCTTTTTTTTCTCTCTCTCTCTCTCTCCCTCTCTCTCTCTCTCTCTCTCTCTCTCTCTCTCTCTCTGCGTCTCTCTTTCTCTGTCTCTCTCTCTCTCTCTCTCTTTCTCTCTGTCTCTCTCTCTCTCTCTCTCTATCTCTCTATCTAGATCTAGATATTTCATTACTTCATTATCTCTCTCTTTCTCTCTATTTCTCTACAGTTATCTGTCTTATTATCTCTCTCCCTCTCTCTCTCTCTCTCTCTCTCTCCCAGTATCTCTCTGTACACGTATGATTATATACCTGCGGATCCATATATATATACACCATACTAAAACCATCGCGCGCTTCGCGCGCGCTCAGGTTCTAGCCCAGGCCGGGGGCGCGCTAGAAGATCTTGGACAGCGCTATCAAGCAAAGGCGCGTGATATAGTCGTGCCTCCTGAGGGCCTCTTGGGAACCTCGTTGGTCTTCGTGGGGGCATCTGAATGGCTTCTGGGGGGCTCTCCGTGCTTCCTCAATTGGCTGTTGGAGGCACCCCTTGGGTGCTTCTCGGGAGGGCATCTTGGGGCTTCTTGGGGTCCCTTGGGGGCATCGTCAGGGTTTTCTGGGCAGTCGGAAAGTGATGTTCTGCAGTCTGAAGCAATCAATTGGCTGTCTTGGCTGCGTGGAGGCCCGGCTTGAGGCCACACTGGGGCAATCTGGAAGCCTCCCGAGGCCTCCTTGAAGCAATTTTGATGCATCGAGAGCTCTGTTCGGCTATCTTGGGGCCCCGTGTACGTCTCCTGTGAGCCTTTTGGGGCCTGGTGGGGGGCTTTGGGGGGCCTCGTCGGACCACTTAAAGCTTGTAGGAGCCCAAGGAAATTCCAAGAGGCCACAATACACCAGATGGGGGACCACGGGAGCCCCCAGGAGGCCCCTGAAAGCTCACGGGAAGTCCCAGTTGACTCGGCCTAATGGACCCCGAGAAAGCCGCAATTCTTTTATGATGCCGACCCGCCTACCCCCCCCGCGCGGCGGTCGCGTGGCGATACGCCTGCACATGCGGCGAGACTACGGCGCATCCGCAGAGACATCACATCCGCACTCGCGCGCGCGTGTCCAGTCGCGCAGCGAAGCGTCGGATTACCCATTTCGAGATCGTCGCCGCGGCGACGCGCAGGACCTCCCCCGCGCGCCCGAGCGCTGCCGAGTCGCGCAAGGAGAGAACGCGCGCTCCGAGACCATCGCCGATGCGGTGCGCGAGCCCTTTCTTCAGGAGGGAAAAAACACCCAGACACTATGAATCGTCGATTCCCCAGAAAATATGGGAAAATATGGGACGTGGGGGGGAAGACAAAAACCCAGAAAACATGGGAAAAGATGGGGAATCTTTGTATCTGTGTATTTGTTTGTGTGTCCTGGGGCCCCTTCATCTCTGCGCGCGCGAGCGCTCCCCCCGTCGCGCGAGGGAGCTGCCCGGCGCCGCGCACGCCGACCCCCCCGCGCGAGAACATCGCGTGCGGGAGGCCGCCGGGGCGACGCGGCGCGCGCGAGTCCTGCGTCCGTGCGCCCGGGCGCCGAGCGCCATCGCGCGAAGGGGGCCTCTGCCCAGCGCCGCGCGCCGACCCACTGGAAGGGGCCCCAGGACACACACACACACATATATATATATATATATACACACACAGATACAAAGATTCCCCATCTTTTCCCATGTATGTTCTGGGTGTTTGTCTTCCCCCCCCCACGTCCCACAGTACCCCACATTTTCTGGGGGATCGACGACTCATTGTGTCTGTGTGTTTTTGTCCCTCCTGACCACTTGCGTTCCACGTCGCTGGTGCGACGCGCGAGTCCGTCGCCTGCGCGCGCGAGCGCTACTCCAATCGTGCGAGGATGGCTGCTCGGCGCCACGCGTCGGCACCCGCGCGAAAAAATCTCACACCGAGGCAGCCGCCAACTGCGACGCACTCGGCCGTTCCATTCCTCGTCACGCAGAGCTCTCCACCCAGCCACCGCCCGGTGGTCGCGTCGCGATGCGCCCGCAAATGCGGCGGCGTTCGACGCTCGTCGCTCGTCGTTCGTAATTCGTTGCTCGTCGCCAATCGTCGTCCTAGTCACCGTTCTTCGTTCGTCGTTCGTCGTTCCTCGTTCGTCGTTCCTCGTCGTCGTCGTTCGTCGTCCGTCGTCCGTCGTTCGCCGCCCGTTTGTAGTAGCTCGTCGTTGGTCGTCCGCCGCAGTCGCCTTTCGCCGATAGTCGCGCAGCGATATGTCCAGTGGGAGTGCGACGCATGTCACCTTCCCCCTTTGAAGGGGGCGGTGTGGGGGTGGAGTCGTGGGAGCTCACTCTCGGGCGCAGCCGAGGCAGAGTAGGGGATGTGGGACACGAGCATCGCGAGCGCTCAACAACGCATCCCACCCCCAACAGTCCTGTTGCGGGGTGGAATGCTTCTCGTAGACGTCGTAGGTACTGTATCTATATACATCTATATATATACACCTCTCTGCGGGACGGGAAAATGACCACAGCCACTGCTTCTTGTTTGCGCCGCCTTCCAGCCGGCCGAAAAAGAAGCAGTGGTTGTGGTCATTTCCCTGGTGCCAAGCTCAACGAAAATGACCACAACCACTGCTTTGTTGCTGCGGGCTGGAAGGCGGCATCAAAAGAAAAGCAGTGGCTGTGGTCGTTTTCACGCCCCGTACTTTCTCTCTCTCACTCTCTCTCTCTCTCTCTCTCTCTCTCTCCCCGAAACATACAGGGAACGCCCAGATCAACGGCATAGGCCAGAGGCCTCCATGATAATCGGCCAGACCCACTGAAGCCGCCCAGTGGCAGACCATGCCATAGCGAGAAATGCCAGAGCTGACCAGACCAGAGGAAAGTGAGCGACCCATGTGTCCGCAGTGCTTCCCCCCGCTGCATGCGAAAACATCGGTGGCATAGGGGAGACATGAATAAGGAGGATGCGCAGAAAAGACGAAAGGTGGGGAAAGAGGAGAGGAGAGGAGATGAGGCAGGAGCACAAGAGGAGGAGAATGCATTCGATGAAGGGCATGCATAAGCTGATGAAACGGTGCTGACGGGGAGGAGCATTAGGAAGAGCCACTTGAACCATCGTACTTACCTACGGTGCCGACGTTGCACATTCGCATGTCCGCAATGAGGTAGGATCGGATCTCGTATTGAACGAGAGCGACAAAAACGAACCAGCAGAAGTGACACTGAACCCGACCACCACGGACTATCACGCACGAAAGCAGACGAGACCAGACCGGACCAGGCAAACGCAAAACTAGAGCGACAGTGGTCGCTGGATGTGCTGGTAAAGCCAAACGTTGAGAAGCCGATCGCCCTGTCTGAAAAGAAAAACACTGGGGGAAACCGATTTAAGTTGCTGGTAGCCTCGAATCGTACAAATCGGGCCCGCTGCTCCAGGGTGCCAGCGAGTGTCGTTCCTGATGTACGTCTCCCACTCGGAGTCCAAGGGGTAGCGGAGCGCGAACATGGCATACCAGTATTTGGACGGGGATCCTGGCCAAACACAGCACCCTCCCCCATAGAGCAGATGGCACCTCACCGCCGCCACCACCAAACTACTCACTTGCGCATCAGTGTGCTCCAAGCGAGCGCGCGTGCGAGCACGAACGATGCAAGAGGACCCACAGAGGATCAGAGCTCATCACAGGGCAACAGCTGACACCCTAGCCAATTGCGCACACGCACGCTGACTGGCCTCTCGGCCCGAGTCCAGCCGCAGCGACAAGAGAAGCCCTCTGGAGGCGTCCTCCCAAAGAAGAGTGACCGCGCGCACGCTGGGCCCTCTGGGCAGCCGGTGTGGCAAAACCACGGTCACCGCCGACGCCTCGTCCTCGAGATAAGCCCCCACTCACTCCTCCTCCTCCTCCTCCTCCTCCTCCTCCTTCTCCTCCTCCTCCTGATCATCATCATCATCCTCATCATCATCATCATCATCATCATCATCATCATCATCATCATCAGCAGCAGCAGCAGCAGCATCATCATCAACAGCATCATCAACATCATCAGCATCATCATCATCATCAGCATCAGCATCAGCATCAGCATCAGCATCATCAGCATCGACATCATCATCGACATCATCATCACTATTATTCTCATTTTGTCGGCATCATCACCAGCAGCATCATCCTCATGTTCATCATCATCATCATCATCATCATCATCATCATCATCATCATCATCATCATCCCCAGCATCATCAGAATCAATATCACCACCACCATCATCATCACCATCAACAACATCATCATTAGCAGCAACATAATCAGCAGCAACATCATCAGCAACAGCAGCACCACCACCACGATCATTATCATCAGCATCATCATCAGCAGCATCATCATAATCATCAGTTGCATCAGCATCAGCATCCACATGATCATCAATATCATCAACAGTAGCATCATCGATCACCATCATCATCAGAATCAGCAGCATCGTCGGCATCATCATCATCATCATCATCATCATCATCATCATCATCATCATCATCATCATCAGTATCAGTATCATCAGCATCATCAGCATCATCATCGTCATCATCGTCATCATCATTAGCATCAGCAGCATCATCTGCATAATCTGCAAGATCATCATCAGCCTCATCCTCATCAGCATCATCAACATCATCAGCATCATCATGTTCCTCATCATCAGCATCATCATCGTCATCCTCATCATCGTCATCATCACAATCATCATAACACCATCATCATAATCCTCCATCATCCTCATCATCATCATCATCATAATCATCAGCATCATCATCATCATCATCATCATCATCATCATCATCATCATCATCACCAGTATCATCATGCTGTTGCTCCTCCTTCTCCTCCTTCTCCTCCTCCTCTTCCTCCTCCTCCATCTCCTCCTGCAACTCCTCCTCATCCTCCTCATCCTCCTCTTCCTCCTCCTCCATCTCCTCATCCACCTCCTCCTCCTCCTGCTCCTCCTGCTCCTCCTCCTCCTCCGCCTCCTCCTCCTCTTCCTCCTCCTCCGTCTCCTACTGCTCCTCTTCCTCCTCCTCCTCCTCCTCCTCCGCCTCCTCCTCCTCCTCCTCTTCCTCCTCATCCTCCTCTTCTTCCTCCTCCTCCTCGTTCTCCTCGTTCTCCTCCTCCTCTTCCTACTCATCCTATTGGCCCTCCTCCTCCTCCTTCTCCTCCTCATCCTGATCATCATCATCAGCAGCATCAACATCAGCAGCATCATCATCATCATCATCATCATCATCATCATCATCATCATCATCATCATCATCATCATCATCATCATCACCATCATCATCATCATCATCAGCAGCATCATCATCATCATCATCAGCAGCATCATCAGCATCCTCATCATCATCAGCATCAGCATCATCGGCATCATCATAATCATCAGCGTCATCATTAACAACAGCATCAGCATCAGTATCACCATCAGCATCAACAGCAGCATAGTCATCCTCATCAGCAGCATTATCAGCAGCAGCAGCAACAGCAACATCAACATCAGCATCAGCAGCAGCATCATCATCAGCAGCAACATCATCAGCATCATCATCATCAGCAGCAGCATCATCGCCATCGTCATCATCCGCACCAGTATCATCAGCATAATCATCATCGCCATCAACAACATCATCATCCTCATCATCGTCATCATCATCATCATCATCATCATCATCATCATCATCATCATCATCATCGTCAGCAGCACCACCACCACCATCATCATCAGCAGCATCAGCAGCGACATCATCATCATCACCATCATCAGCAGCATCAGCATCAGCATCCGCATGATCATCAACATCGGCAGCAACATCACCATCATCAGTATCATCATCAGCATCGGCATCATCGGCATCATCAGCATCATCAGCATCATCATTGGCATCACAATCGTCATCATAGTTGCTATCAGCAGCATCATCATCGAGATAATCAGCATCATCATCATCCTCATCATGGCATCAGCATCATCATGTTCACTGTTCATCATCAGTTGCATCATCATCGTCATCCTCATCATCGTCATCATCACCATCATCATAACGCCATCATCATCAGCAGCATCATCACCATCATCATCCGTATCATCATGCTTCTGCTCCTCCTCCTCCTCCTCCTCTTCCTCCTCCTCCTTCTCCTCATCCACCTCCTCCTCCTCCTCCTTCTCCTCCTGCTTCTCCTCCTCCTCCTGCTCCTGCTCCTTCAGAAGCTGCAGATGTGTAAAGAGCTGCACGGATGGAGGGCGGCCGTTTTCAGGATGTGGCTCTCGCCTTCGCGCCGCACGCAGTCGTTTTGTTGTTCGCGATTTGGCGCCGCGCACATTCGCTGTAAGAAATTACAGCTGTCTCGAGGATGCTCATTCAAGGTTACCGTCCAGGAAACGGTGCTTTGGCACGGTGTCGGACAGTCAGGGCAGTTACGTGGATTCGAGGTGTTGAAGAATGGTGTGCTGGGACAATTCAGGATTTTCGAACGGCTGTCTTCCAACGGGGCATTTTCCTCCGTGAAAGTGAACCCCTGCAGTGGCCTGTGAAGAGGGAACTTGGAAAGAGGGCGTTTAATGCAAGATCGTGAATGCGTCTTGGGTTCAAAGTATTCCTCCTCCTCCTCCTCGTCCTCACCCTCCTCGATTCGACTCGACTCGACTCGACTCGATTGAAAGCATGAGTGTCCGCTGCCTGTTCTGGAGAGATAAGCGGGGAGAGAGAGAGAGAGGGAATGAAAAAAAAACGGCAAGAGCACGAGAAAAAGGGCAATGGACGAGAGATCAGCCACGATTGTGCAGCATGCAGTCTGAACCCTTCTCGCGTAGGAGGTAGAGGTCAAGCGGGACAAAAAAGGAGGCCACAGCGCTCGGGATGTCCCACTCTTCCCATTCTCCGCGGGTGCACCCACCCTTCTGGAGGATATCCTCAAAGAGATTGGAGGCAAAACAATGACAGAAGGCCGGAGGATACGTTTCAGCCTTGCCAGTGCACCATTCACTGCTACTGCTGGTGACTTGTAATAAATCGCGCTGGTAGCTTACGTCGCACCATCCAGCGTTACGGCTGGATGCAAGCAGCCGTGCCAACGAAACGCAATGCACCGTCAACAAGGAAGTCCTCTCTCTGTAGCTGGCGCAGCACCAAGCCTGAAGCAACATATTGAATCGAAATTAACTCTTGCTGGCATCAGGCGCCCCAGCGCTGCTCGATTGGTGTTTATTCACCACAAAGCGCCAGGACTGAATTCAGGCGCTGCAGCCCTCGGGGCCGTGCCAGCGGCAACCCTCGCAGCTGATCCAACGAGAGGGGAGAAGGAGGGACTCGAGGAAAGGAAGAAAATATCTTGCTGCTGGCTGCTGTTCTGTGCCTGACCGCCCTCGCTACTTCTCGCAGCGGCCAGGGGGGCCTGCGAGCTCTGACCACAAGTCATTTTTTCCACGCATGAGAGAGGAGTGGAGGAGGAGACGTAAAAGTCGCCGCAGGAAAAAAGACACCATAGGACCAGTCCAGATCAGAGTTTTGCGCGGAAGCCAAGGCAGAAACAGAGGAGCGATCCAAACGATCAAGACCCCCAGGACAGCTTTTCTTAATAAAGGACGGTGCTTGGCATGCAGTCTCAGAATGACTCACATGTCCTCGACGCTCGCCAGGCGCATGTACTTGTTGCCCCTCGAGTTGGGGGTGTCGGGCTCCTTCTCTCGCGGTCTGCTTGGAGCCCTGGGCACCGTACCGCCTGAATCCGGCGCCGCGATTCCGGCCCTGAGCCAGCCCTCTCACCACCAGTGCGACGTCTCCCGCCGCATCTGCGGGCGAGGTTGGAGACAGACCCGTCTCCACTGGGACGTCGACTGCTGGCGAGCAGTCCCTTGCCCCCTCGGGCTGCACGGGAACGGGGATCTCGTCTTCCTCCCTGTTCCCGCCACTGCTGTCGCGCAATGATCTGAAGGCCTGCATACTGAGTAGGCAGTGGAGCCTCTCGCGTTCCTTCTGGGTGTCCGAGAACATCTGAATAACCTGAGAGCTCACCATTGGCTGCGTGGGCGACATTGGGTACGGCGAGCCAGCTTCCAAATTCTTGCCCTTGCCAGCGCCGCTGAGATCTGTGACCGAGGTACCTTGGGGCCAGCGTTGACGGAGCCACTGACGTAGGCCATGGTCGAACTGAGTCTGGATGTAGTGGACCTGCCAGCTTCACTCCTGGTGTGGTAAGCCCCATGGCCGTGCAGTCTGGAACCATCTGCGGGGCCATCACACCAATACCAGTCACCATGCCATTCATCCTCTGACACATCTGGACCATCATATTATCGAACTGCTGCTGCTGTTGAAGCATCATCATATTATGCTACTGCTGCATCTGCTGGAACATGAGCTGAGGCATGGATTCGACCAGCCCTACAGCAGGCCATGGCGATGCAGCAGCCGATTATAAATAGGAACCTTCACCGCAGCACCATTCCTGTCTTCCTCCCTCGCCTGGACCAACTCGAACTGACGTAGTCATTCCTCCAGCTGGTCGACCTCCCCCTTGATAACGAGATCTTGAGATGTCATCTCTCAAAATTACTTCGAAAAACCTCGAGCCTCTCTTTGGTCTAGTCGCACCTCTGCGTCGTCTCCGACACCCTCTTGTGGACCCGTTGGAGCAGCATGAGGGAATACTTTAGAAACGCAGCGTCGTAAATCGCGTTTTCGTCCTCTTTGCCCAAGACAGCGCCAACTGAGCGAGGTCGTACAGGCGCTTTCTGGCAGCCTCTCTGAAGGCATGGTGGGTTTTCGTATCCTCCGTCGGCGGCACGAAGTGAGGATGCCGCTTGGCCTGCGCGGGACTCGCCGGCGGCGCAGCAGCGGTCAGGTTGTTGATCTCCCCGTCCAGGGCGCCTCGACTGCGATCCCGAGCTTCCGAGCCACCACATTGATCGATGATCCTCAGAACGTGTGTTAGCCCCAACGTGTGTTTGTCCATCGAAGCCCTTCGATACGACGCAGGCGATGTAATGATCTACTGGTTGGGCTGAAGGGGGCAAGACACACACACACACACACACACATCGGACTAACACACGTCCTGAGGATCATCGAGCCTCGACTGCGATCCCGAGCGTCTGAGCCACCACATTGAGCTCCTCGCCATTGGGTCTGCACCAGCCACGGTGGCTGGGAAGGCATGTTGGGCGGCCAATCCAGCGCTCGCCACAGCGGTTGCGCCACCGCAGGTAGAAGGGATCCTTGAGCCAACTCCTCCTTCTCCTCCGGCTCCTCCTCCTCCTCCTCCTCCTCCTCCTCCTCCTCCTCCTCCTCCTCCTCCTCCTCCTCCTCCTCCTCCTCCTCCTCCTCCTCCTCCTCCTCCTCCTCCTCCTCCTCCTCCTCCTCCTCCTCCTCCTCCCTCCTCCTCCCCCCTCCCTCCCTCCCTCCCCTCCCTCCCCTCCCTCCCTCCCTCCCTCCCTCCCTCCCTCCCTCCCTCCCTCCCTCCCTCCCTCCCTCCCTCCCTCCCTCCCCCTCCCTCCCTCCCTCCCTCCCTCCCCTCACCTCCGCATCCCCCTCCCCCTCCCCCATCCCCCTCTTTTCCTCATCCGACTCGCAACAGCCCCTGCGGAACAGTTGGGTCGTAGGCCACTTGCCTGGGCGCTGGCATTTGGGACGCGGGGGCTGGGCCCAACGCACCTGCAACAGACTTTTTGCTGAAGCACGGATAGAAACAACTGAGGTATGGAAAACGAGCCCCCCTCCTGTCGATCACCACTAGCGTCGATCACTGCGCGCCTCTGGCCGCAAACGCCCGCAGTCGATCAAGACGACACTCCGCCACTGGACTCGGCGCCCACCCCCGTGGATTCGGCGACGACAACGGCAAAACCGAGCGATGACGTGGCCGCATGGGATCGGCTCCACCCCCGGGGAGGGAGCACCTCTCCCTGGGAGAAGCGTTCGGCTCGACAGCGTCAGCGTCGCCGTCGCCGTCGCCGGCGCCGTCGCCGTCGCCGTCGTCGTCGCCGTCGCCGTCCCCTGTCGGGGTCGGCGGCGGCGGCCGTCAGGCCGTCGCAGTGCAGCAAAACCAGGCGATGACGTGGCGGCATGGGATCGGCACCACCAGCGCTCACATACTCCGCGCGGCGCCCAGCGGAAGGGCCCCCGGCCCGCCGTGTCGCAGATGGCGCGCCTGGCGCTCCGCCACCGCGCCTCGAGGCACGACGTGGCGCGGCCTCAGGGCCTCGCTGGGGCTCCTCGAGTGCTGCTGTTGGACCATCCTGAGGCCTCGGAGGCCCCTCTGAAGCGAAGAGGAGGCGAGGTCTTGAAAACCACACGGCCTTCCTCGGGTTTGACGGGCGTTGGCCTCATGGGGGCATCGTGGAAGTCGACGGGGAGCTTCTTGAGGGCCTCTTGGGGCCGTCCCTCAGCCTCCTCTGCACTGAGAGCTGCAAGTGCTCTGTCGGAGGCCCCCCGCCCCGAATTCCAGGCGCTGCCAGGTGCTCTTGGGAGTGCCCCGCGGGCCCTCGGGAGCCCCCGGCACGGCCCACGAAGGCCCCGAGGCAGCCCAAGAGCGCTCCAAGACTCCCGAGATGACCTCAAGATGGCCCAAGAGAGGCCCTCAATATGCCACAAAGGCCGCCCAAGAAGGCTTCGAGACGCAAAAAGCATGGAGTTCCCCTTTGTTTTTGAATGGATTGTCTCTGCTGTGGGGGCTCCCAACAGGTCCCCAAGACCGCCTCGAGACGACGCAAGAGGCTGCCAAGAGGGCCCCAAGAGGACCCCAAGAGGGCCCACGAGGGCCCCAAGAAGGGCCTGTAGGCTCCATAACGGACCCGAGAGGCCTTCATGAGGCCCCAAAGGGCCGCCAGGACGTTCAAAAGAGGCTTCCGAGAGGCTTCCAGCTGCCCCCAAGATGTAAGCCCCTAAACGTCTCAGCGAGGGCCCAAGAGGACTCAAGCAAGAGGCCCCAGAAAGGCCTCCCGAGGACCCCAGAAGGGGCTCGAGGGAAGGATCGAAGGGGCCGCGGGAGCCTTTCCCCCAAGATGGCCCCCCAGATCCAGAGCATGCCCCCAAAGGGCCTCCCAGGAAACGCCCAGGAGGCCCCCACGAAGCCTCCCGGCGGCCCCGAGCAGCCCCGAGAGGCGCCCTCGAGAGGCCTGCGGGAGGCCGCCGAGGCGCATCCCAGGAGTAGGGGGCCACATGCGAACCCTACCCCTACCCCCCCACAGAAATCGTGGCGGGTACAGGCAGGGCGTTGACCTAAGGAACCCTAAATAAGGAACGAGGCCCCTTCCTCCCATAAGTTGAACTTCCATTTCCCATGGGAAACCTCAGGAAGCCCGAAGGCAAACTGCAGGACAATCAAGGAACACCGAGCCCCTCCCCAACGAAAAGGGTTCCCTCTTCAGGGCCCCGACTGTAGGGGTAGGGTTCGCCCCACCCTCCCCCTCAGAAATCGTGGGGGGTAGGGGTAGGGTCTGGCCATCGCTCGGACGTCCATGTCCTGTGCGTTTTTCGGTTTCGTGCGTGGTTTTTTCGCCAAATGATCAAGGATGCTCCTCGATGGTCCTCGCCGAAGGAAAAATGCACACGTCCGAGCGATGCCAAGGGGTTCGCATGTGGCCCCCTAAGGAGACCCCCACGGGCAGCCGGGAGGCCCGCGGCCCTCGGCCCAGGGCACGGCGGCGGGCGGGCGGCCGCCGAGGGAAGCGAGAGGCGCCCGCGAGGGGGCTCTCCACGGGCAAAGGGCAGCGCGCAGCTCGGACGAGCTCGTGCGGTCGAGCCGCACGCGACGGAGCTCCGTGCGCTCGGCCCCCGCGGGGCACGCGGTGAACACAGAGAGTACCAGCCTCGAACTTGTCCCTATCCCTAGGATTGTCACGCCAAAAGGCGATGACAATCTTATGGATGCGCCCTCAAAAAAGAGGGGAATCCCTAAGGTTGGCATCGTGATGAGGAGATGCCCAGCATAGGGAGATGTTCCAGGCTGATAAGTAGGCTGCGATCCAGCAGCTCGTGGACACCTTCGACGGGGCCGACCGGCTCAACTCCCGCGGCGTGGCGAGGATCCTCAGGAGCAGGTACTCTCCACTCCCGCGCGCGCGCAGCTGCGGCAGGATCCCCCTCCTGAGGGGGCCGGCCTGCCGTGCGGAGCCGATGGGTGCTGCGGCCTGTCCTGACTACCTACCAAACCCCCCAACCCAACCCGAAGACCCGAATTTCGGGTTGGGGGGGTATGGGCTCCATATGTGTTTTTTCGATGTTCCCGGACCCCCCCCCCACTAGAAATCGAGGGTAAATCTGAGCCTTCGGGTTGGGTTGGGGTGGTTTGGTGGGTGGTGATGTCCTGCGCTGTTCGCTCCTCGTCGTGGCGGGCCCAGCCACTGCTTTGGGGCGTGCCGCCGCAGGCCGTGGCGCTCGCCGTCGCGCGGGGCCCCCTGCGTCCCGACGGTCGCCACTCGGCGCGGAGAGCGGCAGGCTCGGCCCCGAAGCCCGGGTTGGCCGAGGGGTACAGCCAGATTGAAAGGGCCCTGGGACACACAAATAAATACACACAAATAAACAGATTCCCTATATTTTCCCATATTTTCTGGGTTTCTGTCTTCCCCCCCACTTCCCATATTTTCCTATATTTTCCAGGGAATCGACGATTAATTGTGTCTGTGTGTTTTTTCCTCTCCTGACACATGGAACCCTACCCCTAGCCCCCCACGATTTCTCAGGGGGAGGGTGGGGTTCGCTTCGCTCGGGAGCTCCCGAGCGGAGTGAACCCCACCCTCCCCCTGAGAAATCGTGGGGGCTGGGGGTAGGGTTCGCGTGTGGCCCCCATACCAGACCTAAGACAGAAGCACATCCTTCAAGAACATGAGACCCTCCGCCGGTCAAAACACCCCAAACCGTAAGAGGGTACCCTCCCCCAGGATGCACAAGAACATCCAACAAACACGAAGCACATCAGTGCACCCTCCCCGAACCGGTGAGACCCTCCGCCAGTCAAAACACCCAATACCATACGATCCCTTGAGGGTACCCTCCCCCAGGATGCACAAGAGCATCCAACAAACACGAAGGACCTCAGTGCACCCTCCCCGAACCGGCCTCGATCCTGTACTTCGGTCCGACCCTATAACCGTGGTGCCCCTGGCGGGCGGCCATCGCGAGGTCTGGCCCGAGGGGCCGAGCGACGCTTCTCGAAGCCTGTGGGGAGCACAGGCCGCCCTCGTCGGGCGCACCAGGCACACGCGATCTCATGTTTTGAGCCTTGAGACTCCTCCTCAACCTCGTCGTCATCATCATCATCATCATCATCATCATCATCATCATCATCAGCATCAGCATCAGCATCATCATCATCATCATCATCATCATCATCATCATCATCAGTATCATCATCACCATCATCATCATCATCATCATCGTCGTCGTCGTCCTCGTCATCGTCCTCGTCGTCCTCGTCGTCACCACCACCACCACCACAATGACCATCACCATGACCATCGCCATGACCATCATAATCATCATCACCACCACCATCATCATCATCATCAGCAGCATCATCATCACCATGATCACCAGCACCATCACCATCATCAGCAGCATCACTATCATCATCAGCAGCATCATCATCAGCATCATCATAATCATCATCGTAATCATCATAGTCATCATCATCTTTATCATCATCATCATCATCATCATCATCATCATCATCATCATCATCATCATCATCATCATCATCATCATCACCATCGTCACCATCATCATCATCAGCAGCATCATCATCATCATGATCATCATCATCATCATCAGCACCATCATCATCAGCATCATCATCACCATGATCCTCCTCATCACCATCATCATCATCATGATCATCCTCCTCTTCATCACCATCATCGTCATCAGAAGCAGCATCACCATCACCATCACCATCACCATCACCGTCACAGTCACCATTCCTCCCTGGCTCCTCCTCACCCCGGTCCTCTCACGCCCAATTGCTGTGCCATGTCTTTGACCATCTTCGGCGTGATCAGCGGCTGCTTCATGTTGTCTGGTGCGCCCCGGCTGCGCAGGAATATGCGCATAGCGTTGAGGCCCTGGCAGAAAAGCGGGTAGCGCTAAGGGCAGGGAAGAGGAGGAGGAGGAGGAGGAGGAGGGCAAGGGGGCGCAGGGAAAAGGCAAGCTAGGCGCGCTCGCGCCATATCTGACATCCGACCCAACCGCCCCATCACTTCACATTGCGCTGACGTTTCTCTATCCGCCGACGCGTGTCACAGCGGACCTGAAACTCCAACAAGGACCCCACCGTATGATGCGCAATCGGGAAGAGGAGGCTGCGTACAGTGGAGGAGGAGGAGGAGGAGGAGGAGGAGGAGGAGGAGGAGGAGGAGAGAGGAGGATGAGGAAAGAGGAGGACGAGGACGAACAGCAGCAGCAGGAGCTAAGAGTCGGAGGAGCAGGAGGAGCAGGAGAACCAGTAGGGGGAAGGCGGAGGAGGGGAAAGGAGGCGGGCGACAGCGACGACGAGGAAGGGCTCGGCTCCAGAACGGTGGCCCCTCGCTTGGGCGAGAGCGCCCCTCTGTGAACGACGGGAGCGCCGCGCCGACCCTGATATGAAGCCCACACGGCAGCGGAAGCAGCAGTACGGAAGACCGAAAAACGCTCGGATCTGGTACTCCAGATTTCGTAATAAAGGGAGGGGGGTCTCATTTCGGGGGGGGGTCTCTTCCAGGCTATCTTGGAGGGCCTGGGGGGTCTGGGGACAATGTTTTGGAGGGTTCTCCCACGGGGAAGCCCACACGGCAGCGGAGGCAGCAGTAGTAGGGGGAAAACAAACCTACCTCGCTTCTGACCACCCTCGCTTCCAAGAGGTACCAAGCGATGCCAAGCTGCGGCCCGTACTGGTCAGACCGCCTGACGAGGAGGCGCGTGGTATGACTTGGTTTTGCCTGGAAGCGAAAGCGGGGCAGGGAGTTCACGCTCGGAAGTACGGAAGACCGAGAAACGTTCGGATCTGGTAGCATAGAAGAGACACCGATCCGGATCACTCCTTTGAAAAAAAAACATACGCGGAAAGGTGGTCGGGCCACTCTCGGCACATCTTCGGGGGAAAGAGAGGAGAATGGTGTTCGTAGTGTGTGTGTGTGTGTGTGTGTGTGGATGGGGAGAGGTGGAGGGGGCGAAGGGAGAGAGGGGGGGAGGAAGACGGAAAGAGGGGGAGGGGGCAAGCTGGGTGCGCTCGCACCACCTCCAACATCCTCTTCCCTCCCATCCCTTCCCATGGCACCGATCGGTCCTCGAGCCGCCGACGCGTGGCACGGTGTGGACCTCGAACTCTACCCCATCGCGCCGTGCGCAGGAAACGGGGAGCTGCGCACGCTGGAGGAGGAGTCGACGGATGGGCAGGAAGGTGGGAGAGAGAAAGAGAGAGAGAGGCGGAGACCGAGGAGGGAGGAGGACGAGGACGAAGAGCAGCAGCAGGAGCCGGAGCGGGAGGAGCGGGAGGAGCGGGAGGACCCCGGGGAGGGCGGAGGAGGAGGGGAGGAGCGGGGCGGCCGCGGCGAGGAGGTGTGCGGGTCCAGCAGTGTGGCCCGCGCTGGAGCGAGAGAGCCCCTCGGAGCGAACGGGGGCAGAGCGGCGAGGCGGCAACGAGGCTCGCGCTGCAGCGGGAGCACCATTCAGACGCACCGAAAACCACCAGATCGATAAAAAACACACAACAACAAAAAACAAAACAACAAAACAAAACAAAAAAAAACTGAAGAACACGGTTGGCCAATTCTGCGTACAGAACTAAAACAATGCGCGGAGAGGGCCGTGCATCTACCAGACAGGGTCAGGGAAGAGAGGAGAGTAGTGCTCACGTTCAGCATGTGCAGAGGGGGGGGCGGAGGGGGCAAGCAAGGTGTGCTCGCGCCCAATATGACATCCAACCCCTTCCGCCCTCCTCCTCCTCCGCCTTCGCCTCCGCCTCCGCCTCCGCGTCCTCCTCCTCCTCCTCCTCTTTCCCCCCCCTCCGCCTCCTCCTTGTCGTCCTCCTCCTCCTCCTCCTCTTCCTCCTCCTATTCCTCCTTCCCCGCGTCCTCCTCCTTCTCCTGCTCCTGATCTTCTTGCTCCTTCCCCGCGTCCTCCTCGATCCGCGTACGCGTTTCAAAATTAGCGGACGCCGCAAGTGGGATAGACCTTGCGGCCAAAAGACCCCATCGTGCTTTGGGCCATCAGAAATGGGGGGCTGCACAAACAGGAGGAGGGGAAGGGAAGAGGCGGCGGATGAGCAGGAGGATGAGCATGAGGAAAAGGAGGAGGAGGAGGACGAGGAAGGAAGGACGAGAACGAGGACGAGGACGAGGACGAGAAAGAGGACGAGGACGAGGACGAGGACGAGGACGAGGACGAGGACGAGGACGAGGACGAACAGCAGCAGCGGGAACTGGAGTGACGGAGCGGGAGGAGCAGAAGGACCAGGGGAAGGCGGAGGAGAGGAAATGAGCGGAGCGACAACGAGAGGGATTCGAATCCAGAAAAGTGGCCCGCGCTGGGGCAAGAGCGCCAGTATGCGAACGATGGGATCAAAGCGCCAGTCCTAAAATGGATTCCCGATACAAAGGACAAGCAGCCACCAGCACAGGCCGACCCCCCACCCCCCCCAAACGAGGTGGCAATCACCTAGCCACGGCCCAGCCGCAACGGGGCACAGCCACCTTATTAGCGGGGCTCTCTGAGTCACGAGAAATGGCACAGTAAAATAGCTCTCATTGGGGGGCACACACAGTTGAGCGCTCCTGCGATGCTCTGGGTATGTGGTGGCGGAGGAAGCAGCAAAGCCTTCCCATAAGGCCCTGGCTGACCAAGAAGCGGTCCTAACTCTTCGGAGGGCGCGAGTGGTCGGCCTCCCGTTGTCGGAAGGCTGTAGGATGGAAAACTCCAGGATCCGAGGCTTCCGCACCAGGCGAGCGATGCTGTGACATCCTCCCGCTTCCCGATATCGTCGACGAAATAGTGCCACGCCGTCAGGGCACTCGCGCGAAAACCCTCCTACGGAGGAGGGGGAGGAGGAGGAGGAGGAGGAGGAGGAGGAGGAGGAGGAGGAGAAGAGGGGGGAGGGGAGGGGGAAGGAGGAGGAGGAGGAGGAGAGGAGGAGGAGGGGAGGAGGACAACACGGGCAGCAGCAGCGTGGGAAGGCGGAGGCGGAGAGGCGGGAGAGAAAAGCGGCTGGAGAGACGACCGCCGACGCCGGAAGCCCGCTGGAGAAAAGCTCCTCATCCTCATCCTCCTCCTCCTCCTCCTCCTCTCCTCCATCCTCCTCCTCCTCCTCCTCCTCCTCCTCCTCCTCCTCCTCCCTCTCGCCTGGTTCGACCTCCTGTGTCGGAGCCGATGGGGAATTGCGATGAGCTCGACCACTCCGAGCCAGGGCCCTCGCCCTCTCCGCGCCCAGCTCATGTCTCACACATCTGGTTCCTCTGGCGCCTCCCCGCCATCGCGATCGCGCGTCGCGAAGCAGGAGCGGCAGTCCTTGATGGTGTGCGAGTAGGTCTTTGCGTCCAGCACGTCGGGCCCTGTGGCGAGTCGCGCTCAATCTCCAAAGCGGGCTGATGCAGATGATGCCAATCGAAGGAGCTTCCCAACGACGTCAACATTGGGGACGGGACGCATCCGTCGACCACTCCATCCAAGCGGCGCCCATCGCACACGCGCAAGCGAGACGGAGAGGGCCAGAAAGGAGGGAGAGGAGAAGGAATGAGCCGGTCTCGTTAGGACGTCGTCCGCGTGGGAAGTACGAAAGCTGAAGCAGACCGCGAGGAGCAGCAGGAAAAGGGGGGATAGCTTTGGTGGTGAAGGCTCTTATCCCAATAGCACAGGGCTGGGAGAGTTTGAGCGATTCAGGCGCGCGAGCTACTGACGCGAAAGAATTGACGCGCGAAGACCTGCGTGAGATTTTTCTGAATTGCGGCGGGTGTGCTAGGGAGTCCGCGCGCGGGGCGCAAGAGAAGATTCATACATGAGGCCCCCTTGTCGGAGGCTCAACACGCTCTTCTTCCTATTCCTCGTGCTCGTCCTCGATCTGCTCCTCCTCCGCCTCCCCGACGACGACGACTACTACTGCTACTACTACGACGACCACCACCACCACTACTACTACTGCGACTTCGCAGAATGACGAGATTGGTAGCAACAACAAAAATATTAGTACGAATGCTGCGACTACGACTGCTTCTCGCTTTACTGTTACCAACACCATGACCGCCATCACCTCCACACCAACTACTGATGCTGCCGCTGCCGCTGCTATTGCTACTACTGCTACTGCTACTGCTACTGCTACTGCTACTGCTACTGCTACTGCTACTGCTACTACTACTACTACTACTACTACTACTACTACTAATACTACTACTACTACTGCTACTACTACTACTAATACTACTACTACTACTACTACTACTACTACTACTACTACTACTACTACTACTACTACTACTACTACTACTACTACTACTACTACTACTACTACTACTACTACTACTACTACTACGACTACGACTACTACGACTACTACTACTACTACTACTACTACTACTACTACTACTACTACTACTACTACTACTACTACTACTACTACTACTACTACTACTACTACTACTACTACTACTACTACTACTACTACTACTACTACTACTACTACTACTACTACTACTACTACTACTACTACTACTACTACTACTACTACTACTACTACTACTACTACTACTACTACTACTACTCTACTAACTACTACTACTACTACTACTACTACTACTACTACTACTACTACTACTACTACTACTACTACTACTACTACTACTACTACGAGTATTACTACTACTGTTGTAACGATTTTTTTGACGGGACAGAGCGGTTAACCAAATGTCCTCCTCCCCTGGGGTCCGTGGTATCGGCCACGAGGCGGGGCCACTACTGTTACGCAGATTATTGCTACTACTAGTACCACTACTACTGCTACTAACACTACTACTACTACTACTACTACTACTACTACTACTACTACTACTACTACTACTACCACTACTACTACTTCTACCACTACTACTCATAATACTACTACTACTACTACTACTACTACTACTACTACTACTACTATTACTACTACTACTACTAC